TAGTTTGTACAAACTACATTGCCGCAAACCGGCCCTAAGAGAGGAATTGTGGCTCACAGCAAAGCCAAAATCTTTTTGTAAACACATATTAGCATTTATCCTGTATGAGAAAACATTACCTTTGCATTCGACAGTTTTTTACACTACCATTTATAACTGTGAGAACTCTGCTTGTTCAGTAAGATACTTTTCAGACGCACCATGTGTGATCAACTGCACCAAACACAAAATTGCCTGGAGTTTACAGAGCTGTCTACATGAGCTGCAATTTAGTTTTGAGCTAATTTGCAGCTGTTGTCATCCCCCATTATGGTGCAACAGAGTAGAAAGGTTGTTTAGGAAACAAAACAGAAACTTAAAAGATTTTCTTGTAAGCAGAAGCTAAATGTTATGTAAAGAAAATGATGCAGCTCTCAACATTGAGCTTTAGCGGGGTATCCCACCAGCATCTTCAACAGGCCTGTTTGATGCAGCTGAATCAGAAGCTAAATGCCCTCCTTCACATGTTCGCTCAGGAATGAATTACCTACTCATTTGATTCGGATGTGCTGGATCAATACATTTAGAGCTTGCAGGACAGTGGAATGCTGACTTATAGCAGTCCTTTTACTGCTTTTATTACTCCTGACATTGTGCTTCCTGCTTTCTTGTTGTTGTAAATCATCATGTTTCATATTTCCAGTTATTGCTAGTGTAGTCAAGACAAACCAACAAAGACCAAGGAGTACTGAGACCGAGATAAGGCCAAGACGTTAAGAGGCCGAGACCAAATATGGTCTTTTTTTGTGTCTGAGCTCCTTGGTCTCAGTTGGTGTGGTCTTGACTAAAACACTATTTATTGCTCCAATTTTAGATATAATTCTGGTTAACCTCAAAGTTTTCCCCTGACTTTAAAAATAAAATCTTCCTTACATGAATTGTTTGGTCCCTTTGGAATTATGGGTAGCTTCGTGTCACATTCATTCATTGGTAACCTATTCCAGAGGCATAGGTTACCAATCAAAGTTTATAGATTAAAATAAAGAGAAAAACACAAAATTCTTATGTTTTGTGTTTAATCTTGTTTTTCTGTCAGACGTATACCATTTTGAGCCTTTTTAAATATCTTTACCAGCGGTACCAACAGATAAGTGGCTCTAGCAGGATAAACCAGAGTCTGATATCGCCAGAAAGTCTAACAGAAAAACAAAAAAAAAAGTCTTTTAAATCTTAGACACAGAAAAACTGGGGACTGAGGAACTTGTTGTGCATGCAGTTTGAAAGTACACACACAACACAGGAGGAAAATTATATATTTTTTCTTTTTTTAAGTGGACAGCCAGAGAAACCGGTGATGAAATACATTTCACAGTGTTACAGGATGAAATTGTGGCATCTCCCTTTTACCCTGGTAGCACGGCGTGGAAGAAAACATCGATAAAGCTTCTACACTGTTTATAACAGAAATGTTTGAACACAATTAAGACACTAATGTTTTATTTCTCTCTTTATGTGCAAGGTACAAGTTCATGGCAGAAAAATTACAATAGAAACACTGCTTGTGTGTCTCAATGTTGGGTTTTACAGATACTTCAGGGCATGTCCAGCTCTCGTTTCCAAGGTGAATGGGGTAAAAGTCGGGTGTCTTGGAGCGCAATTTACAACATTTTCCTCTTCTCAAACTCCTGCAAAGACAGACAACAAAGAGAAAGAAGAGACACAGCGTGAAACGAAGGGAGACAGAAAGATATGAATGATTTATTCATGTGGAATTCATACAGACTTGTTTTGATCCTGTGTATCTGATCTGCTGTTGGGGGAGAGACTGCTGAGTAGCTCTGGTGTCTCTTTTTCATGCCATGAGATTCAACCTCATGCAGAACATACGTGTGGGAAAGCACGAGCAGTAAAACGGCTCACTTGTTGGTTGTCAACAATAAAACAGATGGCTTCCTCCAATCGATGGGGGGGTTACATTTGTAAAAATCTGATTTATGTGAGGTTATGCTAACTGTGTTTATCTGTGGAGTCCAACCATGTGACTATAAATGAGAAGGCATTATGTTAGCCATTAAAAAGGATGTTGCTATTTACATAATCAATTTGCAGAGTATCACACAAATCGCAGGATGATAGAATACGTCGTTCCCAGAGAATTTTCCATTCCAAAAGGGAGAGTAACTTGATGCAAATGTCATTTATCAGGTCTAGAGAACACACAAGCACTCAAGCACAAGTTGGCCCATTCCTCTGTGGCTTTTGAATGCATGAAGTTATACTGCCACCCTAAGGCGAGAAAATAAAAACATGAAAAGCCAAAAGTGCTTAAGATGCACCCTCACCATCTCATTGTGACTGCCTAGAAGGGTAACATAAATTAAGATAAATATCTACGAAACTGGAGTGTTCTCGGCTCTGCTTGCTGTTTTTCTGCTTAAAGGTGGACAATAAAAGAATCGAATAAGGTTAAGAGGAAATATGTAAATTAGGGAAAACAAAGAAAGCTTAACAGAAGGCAAAAACTGACAAAAATATATAGAACGGTGCCGTTGACAAACAGCAGACATTACCGTACATCTAAGGTCACAAAATGAATAGATATTTCAAGGAAGGATTTTAGAGGTCTTCCAAATGGACAGGCGAAGAAACACTTTTGGTCCGGTCTGTCGTTTGACAAGTGAAGAGCAAGGGGAGGAGTAAAATGAGAAAAATAGAGGTTGTCAGTCAAAGGAGACAAGCAAAAACACCCCTGGTCTAAAATGGGGAAGAGCAGAGGGAAATGTGAAATGAAAGAGAAGACTTTTACAAATGAGCCACGACAGCAGCTTTGTGAAACCCTGATATATGAAGCCGTGAGACACCGTAAACAACGTCTGTAACCTCTTTTTCCAACTGTTGAATTTATTAGAGCGTCCAAATCTAAAGGCTTCTGTTTGGCTGCACATATTGGCTTTGGACTATGGAGGAGGGGGGGTTCAGCAGGAATAGTTTCCTTCTATTATTAATAACCTGCCTGTTCTGTGAAGGTCTTAGAGGTTTGTTAGAGAACATCAGTGAACAGACATGAAGAAGAGAGCTAATGGATTAGAGATGCATTCGAATCAGGGTTTAGTTATACAATGTGCGGAAAAAGAGGGTCTTTAAACTGCAAATGTTGCCCCTTGATCCAAAGTGAAACATTTGATGAAAAACTGACATGCAACATCACTGTCCACTCGTGTTTATAGAGTTTAAAACATGTCAGTGGCAGGGGAATACTTTCTTCAGCAGGGATATGGAAGAAACGGCAAGATGAAAAGCAGTTAAATAAATACCAATAACAAAAGCTGCTGCAGGCTAAAAGGTTCAAAATTAGACCATACTGATGTGTCAGAACTCAAAGTTAGTATTGAAGTTAAATTTAACAATATTACGAGACAATATTATGACATGCTATTGAATATCTTTTTAACCAAGGATTAAACATTACTTGGTTTCTTCCATAAAAGTGCTGCTAATCTAACAGGTCATTAGTAACTTCAGCTTCACTAAAGCATCATAAAATATAGAAACAATTTTAAAGATTGAATAAAAACAAAGTAGATCTAGTTGTATACAAAGAAAATAAAACAAACGGCCATCATTATAATATTTATGCCTTGTCTGAAGTGTTAAATCTTTTGACTAAACCTTAATGTGAATCCATGCTTTACACAGTTTTCTGATAAAATATTTTTCTTTTTAGCATCACTTTCTTATTCTCCATTTTCTATTGCCTTTGACCTTATAAAACGAAAGCTTACGCAATAAAATGAATGCAATAAAAAAAAAGAAGTCTGAATTATATTTATAAAATGAAACGGTGTGAAATGAGGGCGAAACTGTGATGATGCACCTGATAAGCTGACAAGAAAGACATTTCTGCAAGTCTAACTTCTTTCTACTACTAAATAACTTATAAAGCTATTAATACTATAGATAAATATTTGGTTTAATGAGCCTATATGATCTGTACAGTACCATAAGAGACGAGTTAGAAATAACATTTGTCATATTAAGTAAAACTGAAAGTTAAACAAAGGTTAATGAAAATAATTATAATATAGAAATACTTCTTCATGATGGCACCACTTTGTATGACAGTTAGCTACAACCAAACCAAGAACCAGTATTTGAGGCAACTATGGCACTAATGACTACATAAGGTAAAAAAGAGCTCTGTTTAATTGAATAATAATAATAAAAATTATCATCATAAAGGCTTTATACAATTAGTTAAAACAGGCTTAATTAAAAGAGCTGCTTAGGTGAAAACATCACGTTTACTTTGCTTAGGCAGGAGAGAAAAAGAAGTGTGTAAAGATAATTTCAGTTTGAAGGGTAAACAGCTGCATAGACATCATATAAATGCGTGAAACTTTACTGAAGGTTTTTGGAGATAAGAGGAACAGACTCCCTTCTGATCATCTTGTATCCATCTCTCTAGTTTCTACTTTTCATGTTCATAACCAGCCTACGCTTTGCATTTCCCAGAGGCCTTTGCGCCGTAGTTCAAGGCTAAAAAGCACCGTTGATAAACTCAGCACTGCCTGTTCACAGCCATTTAACCCATTTCACTTTTTCACCTTCTTAAGTTTCATATTGATCAAATTTTCTTCTGATTAAACCCAGTCTGAAGCAGCATGTAGCAATGCATTCATGTAAACCCGACAAACTGTTTCCAGCAGTGGTAATGAAAGTATAGAATGATAAATGGGTGTAATATATGCCTTCACTTTTTATACTTCTTGTTAACAGAGCCTCTCTTGGGATAAACTTAAATAAAGAGGTGGTGGCATCGGTTCAGCCGGTCGACACATGCTTATTAAACGTTGCCCCTTTATTTCAGCAGTTCTTTGTTAGAAGCACATTTAAAATGAAACTCCAAGAAGAGTCTTTTTCTTCTCACATGTATAACAGAGTTTTAATTAAAGCTAACACTAGTAGTGATCAACACTTCAGCATATATGAATATAAAGCTGGGAGTGGAGTTGCACAGCGTGACTAAATTAACTTGGTTCCGACTCCATTGTTCTTTGCAAAACAGTTCCAGCTCAGTCATCTATGAACATCTATAAAAACATGCATTTTTCCACAATCTTTCCACAGATTCTCAATTAGATTTATTGTCTAGACGTTGAGCAAAACCATCTAAACACACGAACATGCTTAGAGACCACACCTCTAACAAGTTTTCTTCCATGATGGCCTGTAATTAGCTCCAGCCTTCTTACCGTTAAACTTTGCTGGGCTTTTCTTAATCTGCAGAAGAAAATTGTCCCAGTAGCGTAAGGCTGCAGCTTTAAGTTTCACCATATGAATAGCTGATTTGAATAGAACTGAAGCGTTAATTCTCAGCAAGACATCACTATTTTTGCACATACTGTAGATAATTTTGGTCTAGTTTCCCCAGATCACCTTTCTCTGCATATTGTACTTCTTATGCAGTAAAATACTTGGATTTGTTTACAATTACTATATGATTATCTATACAATTAATAGTCCATCCATACAGACGCTCTGTACACATGTAAATAAATATTTATATACTGTATAGCCCTTCTTGATAGATGATAACTACATTTCTTTGCCTTTTACTTGTGACCGTGTAGTGACAATTAAGTCCTGAGCTGTGGGCCTCTTGGCTCTCTCCTCAATTAATAATTAAAGTAGATTTGATAGCCAACCAACTATGCACCTATGAGGCATTCACAGCACACCTGTATTTATATTAACATTAATAAATACACATACTTTTCCTAATTGAAAACCTTAGTAGGCTTGTGGGGTTTTCTAAACCCCCTTTCCGCATCACAGCCATTTGCTACTCTGTGTTTGCATAATAAAAACAATCCAAATAAATACATTAAAGTCTGTGGTTGCAATGCAACTAAATGTCAAGGGGTATGAATATGTTTTGATGGCACTACTGAGTGCCGCCTTCTTAAACTAAAATCAGATTTTAGCAACACCCCCCCAAGCACAGATACGGATGTTGGATTATGTAGAGTCAAGCTTTCGATGATTTGTTCTAGTCCATTTGAAAGTGTATTATTATTAGATTTATTATCGAGTTATTGAGGAAATATTTTCCTTTTTCGGAATGTGCCACACGGAGAGACTTTTAAAGTTGAAAACCATGTCACCAAAAGAAATACTGGAAAACAGAATAAAAAAAGGATGCAGAGCAGCAAAACAATGGAACCATTTCAGTGCATTATATCTTGAATTATGTTTTCATTTTGGTTATTTGCAAAATGCCACTCAGTGACTGAGCAGTTTAAAATTGCTTTCATGTAATGTTGAGCAGTAAGACCTGGGGCATGATGAGAATAGGAGGGTTTCCAGTAAAAATAACATAAAAGCATTTTGATTTTTTTTTTTTTTTTACTTTCTGTTCATACTGTATAAATCTATGCTAGTTGGAAAGTCTTCCATACAACGTGCAAAATAACTAGTCTACTTTTACTTTCATTTTTAACTGTATAATCACTCTAAAACGTGTAAAAATCAAGTAAGTCAGCAAAAGTAAAACTGTTGATTACATATAATAGGTAAGTGGGTAGCACTGCCGCCTTGCAGCAAGCTGGTTCCTGGTTAGATTCCCGGCCCGGAGTCTATCTGCATTAAGTTGCATGTTCTCCCTGAGTATGAGTGGGTTCTCTCTGGGTACTCTGTTTCCTCCTACAGTCCAAAAACATGACTGTTAGGTTAATTGGTTTCTCTAAATTTTCTTTAGGTGTGAGTGTGTGTTGCCCTGCAATGGACTGGTGACCTGTCCAGGGTGTACCCCGCCTCTCGCCTGTAGACAGCTGGAGATAGGCACCTGCACCCCTCACAACCCCGCTTGGGACAAGCATGACAGAAATGGATGGGTGGAGGTATTTACAATTTGACATGTTTAATAACTTTAACATCTTTATTTTAATGAATCAATGAATTTTTAGGGTTTCTTTTTGGTAGTGTGCATTTTGTAATCTCCACGTCTCAAAGGGAAAACTATAGCTGTAACATGCTTATGCCTACATGACATGCTTTGATACCAGTATCAAGAAAACTATGGAAAAAGAATAAACAGACCAAAAATGCAATGTTTGTGAGACTTTTCATAAATTAGAAAGAACAAATACGAAATGGGAAGAAACCACAACAACATGTCAAAAATCAAACGACAGATGGACACATTTCTGACTGAAACTTCATTTACCAGACAAAAACCGGGGATGGAGAAAGAGACTCAGCTTCCAGAATCATCATGCACAAACCGGGGTACACATTTAGAAACATGTCAAACGAGGGGGAGCAAACACAGCAGATGGAACAGCCTAGTGGCTCTGAACTTCAGTTTATGCTGGGATTTGCAACATGCTTTGAGGGAAGATAAAACTCTGTTCGATAGATATGGATGTTGGAGAAATCAGAGTGTTTATCATGTTAGAGAAAATGAAATATCACAGCTCTAAGAGGATTTTATCCTTCATTCAATTGAAATTTCTTGTAAATGTTTTGGTTGGTCAAAGAATGTTGCACATTGTAAGGTCAACTGATGGAATAGCATATTAAATCATCAGCATTACATACCTTTCACAGACTTCATCACCTGGTAACAACAGAAACAACCTTTTTTTACATATGGACGTACATGAAGGCTATATACAATAACAAGCAGGGGTTTTCAAGATAAACAGACAAGGAACCACTGGTTTATCCAAACACTAAATCTACTAAAGATTACTAAGAAGACAAAAAACTCCAACAATGAGATTATTAAAAGTCCAAGATTTTTGTAATAAAATCTGATCCAAGATATTTTATTTACCATATTTTTACGACCATAAGTACTAGAAGGCGCAGTCTCAGTTATGTGTGCCATTACTGTATTTAACACACACATAAGGCGCACTGGATTATAGGATGCAGGTTTTATATACCGCTACATATCCTCTACTACATTTAAATACCTCTACTACGTATTTAAAAATAGAGCGGGAGCAAAACTGAGTATGTTTGTGCTTTATTCATGTATTTATTACGAAGTATTAATCAAACCTGGGAGCTGGCCGTGAGACAGACACATTGCTGATGACACAGAGCGCTATGATCACTCCTCTGAAACAGTTTGACGCATAAATTAACTTAAAATGCAGAAATCTGCCGGCAGAATATGTTCGCTTTTATTATCCTGGTGCCTGCAGTTTAGATTGTACCAGTTAGTTCTGACGCGCGGCTGAAGCATTGACTTTGCATGTAAACTCGCTGCTTCTGCTGCGCGGTTCACACCAAAGTCGAGCGGTTGAAGTTCCTTTGTCAGACCTCCCGCAATAACAGCAAGCACAGCGTTCATTTGTTTCACCATGTTTTTCACATCAGCTGTGAGATGGGCACGCATGGAGTCACAGATTAACAGCGATGGTGATGAGTGGAAAAAAACCACCTGGTCTCCTTACATACACCTGCCTCAGCCACTATTTCATCATCTCCTCAATGAGGAGACGAGGAGTTCTGCATAAAGCACATACCGTAAATTCTCTAATATTGGCCTGTATTCCAATAGCGGCCGGGTCTCTAATAATGGCCGGTCTCGCTGTCAGAGGAGGTAAATAATGGCCGGTCTCTAATACAGGCCGGGGCTATAAACGTTTTTTCTGGGCATACCTCAACATTATACTTGTGGTAGTAAGTAACATACAAGTACCACAGCCCTGCGCAGCTGAACGACAAGCCCTGCTGCTGCCCGTCTGCGCGAGGAAGAGAACAGACACGCAGCAGAACAGGAGGAGCAGCGCGAGTGATGAGGAGAATAAAGGGAGAGATGAAGAGGAGGAGGAAACTGAGGAGGAGAATTAAACAGAATTGGAGGATTTTTATATATTTTTTTTACTTCAAACCAAGCGAGACATGGTAACTGTACTTTTTCAATAAATGAACCTAGTGTTTTATAGGTTCAAATAGACACAAAATCTCATTTTTATTCATTCCACTGGTAGTCTGTTTTGCTCAAATAGCAATAGAGGCCTGTCTCTAATACTGGCCTCTATCCAATAAAGGCCTGGACCGCGATGCACTTGAGTGAAATAAAGGCCCGGGCCTATATTAGAGAATTTACGGTACCTGTTCTTTTATACACAATCCATGCCCACACTTCCCCCTTTAACGTTCTAATGATGGTCTCAAACGTCCGCAGTAACAACACACATAGGGCGCACCGCACTATAGGGCGCTCCACACATTTTGAGGGGAAAAAAAATACGTTTATATGCGCTTTATAGTCGCGAAAATACGGTAAAAGGTATATCCCTGTCTATACATAACAATACATTGGCCAGGTGATATTTTTGGCTGATATTGGTGATTTCTTTTGTATCATCTTTGACCTATACATGCATGCATTTGCATTCAGCAGCTATGTTTTGAATTATATGCTAATAAAACTTTCTTTGTGTTACTACTGTATAATTTCTAATGAAATGTAGGGATGCAACAAACGATTATTTTGCAAATCGATTAATCTAAAGATAATTTTTTTGATTAATCCATTAATAATTTGATAAGGTTCCTTAAAGTCGTGGGGAAACGGCTGTTCTAACCATTGGATTCCGAATTCTCCTGAGTGGTGCCCGAATTTACAGAAGTGGATAAAGTGAATGTGATTGGTCGTTTATCATGGGGGCGGGATTGTTCTTGAGGAAGATTCAAAAGCATGTTTGGTTGTGGCCGGTGTCTCTGAAGCATCTTGCTAACCAGTTAGCAACTTAGTGCTAGTAGGTTCCCAATGGGAAATTACATTGGGTCCAAGTAGCACTAAGAAACGACAAGGAACGCTATGGACAGCGGAAACATGCAAGAGGAGGAGAATTTTGTGTCAGAGGTTGTGGATGAGTCTCCTCCGTCATACATTCTTTATTTAGAGGAGAAAAACAGCTTCAAAGTTGTTGAGGAAGAGGACGCCAGGGCGGCAGAAGTTTCATTTGTTGTAGAAGGCTTACAGCCGTACATGTTTGAGCCCTTGCCTCGCAACGCTGTCAGTTCTAATAGCTCTAAGGCTGATGAAGATACAAACGTCCATCACTGTGAACACTGGGACGGAACTCAATGGTAAAGGAAATTATTCTTATTTCAACCGTTGCGTATATTAGCTGCGGCATATCAATCAAGATGCTATGACCGAAAAAAAATTTGATTGACAGATGACCGTTGATATATGATTTGCCAAAATTTAGGTGTACAAGCTGACGTATAACTAACTGGCCAGCATAACGGAAAAAAAACACAGATTTTAAGACAGGAATTTAAAAATAATAGTAGTTCTGATAAAGAGCACATTTATATACATGTTTAAGCCAGAATGATTTGACATTCAAATATGACTTCCATACGACTGTAAAGAAGTTTTTTCACGAAATTAAACCAGGTGAAACTAAAACTTTTCCACTTCAGGAGTTCTGGATAGAGCAGATCAACAGGTGAAAAAGTTTTTTTGTTTTTTTTATCTTAAGTCCAAATTATTTAGATTTTTTTTTTACAATCTTGGTATAATTGGGTTGCTCTTTAATCTAAAGCCATGTTTTAGAGTCTCTATACTCCAGCTAATGATTAATCGATTGCTAAAATTGTTGAAGATTATTTCAATAAACGACTAATCAGGATTAATCCCATGAATTGTTTAGGCCCTAATGAAACGTAAATATACAAAGAAAATGATATTGACATCAGGAATCACTCCCAAATAACCACCAACATGTATAGGGGTTTGGATAGACTGACATTCAAATAAATCTCTTCTATAAACTAATTCTATCTCCCTCTGCTTACATTTGTAGTTGCTGTTGTTCACTGAAGTCTCACCTTGTACATTGTGCTCCCCAGCTGAGCAGGGGACATGCTGACCACAACTCCAGCCGACTGGAGAGCTGCAATCTTCTCTTTGGCTCCGCCTTTTCCACCAGCAATGATGGCGCCGGCGTGGCCCATCCTGCGGCCGGGGGGAGCTGTCAGCCCCGCGATGAAGGACACCACAGGCTTGGCGTTATCTCCCTTAGAGATAGAAGACAGGGGGTGGAAAACAAAGCAAAATAAGCTCTAATTATTGGAGCTGAACAGAAAAAAATAAAAAGAGAAAGACCAGTGGGAAAAGTGTAATTTGTTTAACAAAGCAACAGGAGCAGGAGAGTCTGTACCAAAATAGAAGGAATTAGTTTTCTGCACCTGCATTTTATTCATTCATTAGAAACAAAGCCCCTCGTGCCCTCCCACTGGAGAATACCATGATAACACGCAAGTCTAACCAGTCATCCCTGTCTAAGCCAGCGTTATTAAAACAAAGGGTCAATCAAGCCATTTAATTGCAGGGGCGGCGGTGTGACCAGATAGGGGCTCAGGCTCCTGCCATTTCATATCATCTCATTTCTGAAATGGTAATTAGTCATGCAGCCAGTGATTAGCTCAGCGCTTGTCTGCGCTACTTGCTCATTGATGGATGTTACATTCAACAGTTAAGATCATTTCCAAGGTGAAGAGAGCTAATTTTTCATCTTCAGCCATAACATCATAACCAGATAGAGGGACAGAGCCTTTGCTTGTGCGTAGCAGCTAATATTTCATACTTGGGTATAACAACATAATTGCAGGGGACGGCTGTGTGCGGGTGTACAGGCTGAAGCTCATCTGGCAGACAGCATTCAGAGAGCGAATGTGGCATGTTTAACAGCCAAAGCAATACAGCAAGGTCCTTCAAAGACACACACTTCTGCTGGCGCTTCAGGACTAAATCTAAATATGACACTGGCAGGGATGAGATGGCAGTTCTTAATATACATAAGCCCAAGATAACTTTTGATAATTGAGACTTAGCAGGGCACACATCGTTCAAGGAAAAGTCGAGGGCTCTGGAACAGAAAGCATGGCCAACGTAAAAGGTTAAGACTCGCAGAGTTATACAAAGAGTTCAGGTATATCACAAAAAGCTTTGTATATGTTAGAAGCATCTGTTCTAACCAATGAAAGATTGATAGCAAAACAAACAAATTAGCCGAAAATAGTTGACTCAGAAATCAAAGCACATTCTCAATACACAAACCGCCCTCATGTGAATCCAGCCTTAAATCTACCTCAAGCAAAGCAGGTTTAATTACTCTATTAATTCCTGCCTCTCTTGGCACTAAGTAACAATTCAAAGAGGGAGGTAATGGGGTGGGGGGGATGTGCTGCTATTCGATTCAGCCGTCTTTTGTCTTTCACTGTTAGAATTACAGATTTATTACATTCATTAAGAGACCGATGGGGGAGTTTCACAGTTTCTGTTTGCCAACATGACAGGGGAAAAGCTTTGCTCCATAAACACAAACTAAAGCCGACCTCAGACAATTTTTGCTTCCCATAAACATGACTGGGCGGTAGGAGTAACTGGAATGTACAAACATTTGACAAAAACTAAGCTCACTGTAGCATCTGACATTTCTGCACTGCAAAAATGATCTAGAACTAAGTCAAATTTTCTGAAATTAAGTCTATTAAGTAGCTGAATAAGATGATTTGTCAAAGTAATTAAGATGCACTTGAAATAAGACAATTGTTTTTTTTCTCATTTTAAGGCAAGGCAAGGCAAGGCAGCTTTGTTTGTATAGCACATTTCAGCAACAGGGGAATTCAAAGTGCTTTACATAAAATCAGTTAAAAAAATAAATAAAACACAGAAGAAACAGTTAAAAATAAAAACAGAATAAAAATTACAGTGCAGTATAAGAGATTAAACAGTAAAGAAATGAGTGCCATTTAGAGAAAGGCAACATCAAAAAGAAAGGTCTTCAGCATTGATTTAAAACAACTGAGTAGCAGCAGACCTGCAGGTTTCTGAGAGTTTATTCCAGATGTGAGGACCATAGTAACTGAAAGCTGCTTCCCACTGTTTAGTTCTGACCCTAGGAACAGAAAGTAGACCTGTCCCAAATGACCTTAGAGGTCTGGGGGGGGTCATAGTGTACTAGCAGGTCAGAAATGTATTCTGGCCCTAAACCGTTTCGTGATTTATAAACTAGCAAAAGTACTTTGAAATCAATTCTTTGAGACACAGGAAGCCAGTGTAGGGACTTCAGAACTGGAGTGATGTGATCCAGTCTCTTTGTCTTAGTGAGGACTCGAGCAGTAGCGTTCTGAATCAGCTGCAGCTGTCTGATTGTTTTTTTTAGGGAGACCTGTAAAGACCTCATTACAGTAGTCAAGTGTACTGAAGATAAAAGCATGGACAAGTTTTTCCAAGTCCTGTAGACACATAAGTCCTTTAACCCTTGATATATTAAATGTAAATCATCTTGTTCCATTGGCAAATTGGTTCACTTACCTCCTCAATTCCAGAAAAAATGCACTTATTTAAAGAAAATTTTATTTTTTGCAGTGTGCAAAAGCTCAAATAGTGCGGTTAACATTATCTGACATGACAGAGAAACTAAGTGTAATAAAACTGAACAATGTTTCACCTTTTGGTGTAATAAGTCTAATATTTAATTTATTAATTTCTTTAAATTATTTCTAGAAACAAAATGGTTTTAATTCCGGGTAAATAAAAAATAAACCTTGGTAAAAGTAAATAAAGTAGTATTATAGACAAAAATCTAAATTTTAAATTAGAATTTCCCTCTTGGATCAAATCAGTCCTAACATTCAGCTAATGGAGGTTTATTCAGGGGTTTCTTTTCTTTTCATGGGTAACCCAGAGTGACTCAGAAAGATCTGGGCTTTAAGTAGTCCAGAATATTCCATGTATAAAATCCCAACAGGCTTTGGTGGATTAACTGGTTAGTTTTGGTACCATTGTTGGGTTTCAGGGTCCAGTTTAGCTCTAAGTTTTATTTTAGCTGCTTCACTATTTGGTTTAAATGTCCTTTGTTCTGCTTCCAACTAATTGAAGTTTCATATTGTCAGTGCATTTTAAGAAAAAGACTAGAAGGAGCCTGCTTTAAGCTTGGTATAGGGTTTTTCTACTTTTCACCTCTTTGAATTCTTTACCAGATATATCAGGCTACAGTGACAGTTTGTTCACTCTCACTGAACCAACTAGCAGGACATGAAAAACCAAAAGTGTGGTTTCCTAACAGGGCACAACTCCTGCAGGGTATCAACTGTTCTTAAATATTGTTTTCACATATAAAGTTCAATGCTAAAGAAAACGAATGAGACACTTTTGAACTAATGATCTGGTCAGTTAAGCAGTTGTTGGTGTTAATTAAATTAACAAGAGGCACACGACCAGGAATGATTTTTTTTAAGCGTAAAAACTGTCATTACTAGAAGCATGAGGTGATACTTGGAGCTCAAAGAGGATGTAGAGTAAGTCCAACTCCACCAGGATGGCACATCGAGCTATTTCTTGAAAGTTTGCTTGGTCTCCCAGCACAGTCTCAAGGCGGTGCGAATGTCTATGACCAAAACAAACTTCTTGAATTTAGCCTCAGGGTCCCACGTACCCTAGTAGGTCCTGCGCTGACCTCCGCCGGCATTTTCTACAGAACCATGGAAACAGCAGGTTCTGCACTTAAGCTTTGTTCTTCTCTTTTTTTTTAAAGAGCAGCTTCACTCAGATGTAAAAGGATCTTGAGAGGTGGATAAGCGTTATGATGCCTTCAACATCATTTAACATAGCTGGTTCTGTGGTGGGTGAGTTTTGATCTTCAAAGGCAGATCCATAGAGGAACTGCCTTTGCCATTAGGCATCAGGAAGACATTCCAGACTAATTGTTAGAACTTTGGCTACTGCAGGATAATGCCCAGAATACATATGAGCTTCTTGAAGCAATACAAACTCCTAAGTACCATTTTAAGTTGATGCAATGACATTTGAGCAAATTGGACTAGCCTGTTCCGTGCGTTTTTCAGTCTGCTTTCCCTGGTACTCTGGATTAAACCCTGTGCGGGTTGATAAATGTTATTTTCATCTAATGAAGTGGAATCCTTTTGTTCCTTACAAATTATGCTACCAAATAGCTTTGGTCGCCGGATTCAAACAGCTACTGCTTTTAAGAGTCCTATTTCAAATAGTCTCAAAGGATGAAAAGTTCAATTTAATTCAAAGAGAAAACATTGTGCTCTGTCAAATTTGTACGACGCCTCCCGACTATTAAAAACGTGATTCAAGAGCACCGTTTTATGAACCATTTTCTACACATGCAACTTTCAAAGGGGGAATCTGCAGCCTACCCCTACACTCTGCTGGGCTTTTCATGCTTGTGTTTCATTTGAACTGTCCCTCACTGTCAACACTGTGTGATTGGGTGGGGGGGGAGGACTGTTTGTACTTTATTTGTTCAGTCACAGTAGTTATTCTCCTGAGACACCAGCGGCAGATTTGCATGCATTAGAGCAGTGGAGGGCAAATCAAATCCATTTCTCAGCTCAAGAGCACCAAGCACACACATTCAGAAACAAACAGAGCTAAATTAGCACGCTAAAAAGTAATCCACATGGCACGACTTCAGACCTGAAGAAGCTGTAAATGTGAGCAGCAGACTTCAGCCGCATTGTTACATCAGCCAAACATCTGCTCCCTCACAAGTAAAGATCAGAAGATTCACAGCTCATCAGAACGGCCAATTTCTTAAACATGACCTGCGAGTCACACCGTCATCCATCTGTCACTTTTTACCTTGATCACATAAATCACCCATATAAAAGAAAGCCTGAGGCTGTGATCAAAGAAACAGAAGGACAGCTCAAACATATTCTTAGCACATGACAGGTCCCTGTCATCATAGATACCATTGGGTTTGGAAAAAAGGGTTACATCTTAATTGAATTATTGGCTGATGTTAAAACACATGAGGAGCAGTAGGTAAGGGGAAGTTTTGTCATTTGCTCACAGTGTTGTGCTGCTTCAGGTACTCTGCAGCATTCTCCTCAGCATTCCCTCCAATCTCCCCGATGAGGATGATGCCCTCTGTTTTAGGATCCTGCAGGAACACCTCCAGACAGTCTATGAAGTTTGTGCCATTAAATGGATCGCCACCAATACCTTGCAGGACAATAAAACACACACTTAAGCATCCAAGAATATCGAAATGAAAAGGTATGCAAATATAACCACAGAAAGCTGATAAAACCTGATGAGAACCAATGAAACAGCAAAGGAGCAGGTTACTGCTTTTCTTTTATTTTTATGATTAGCTGTTAACAGCTGTTAATTTAACTTTCTTTCAGACCAAGGCAGGATAACTTTTATTATTACCTACAGCAAGCCAAAGGTTTTTCCTTATATTTATGGTCTTTACCAACACCTGACAGAGAGTCGGGCTCAAAGTCATGAGTTTGTCTCAAATGAAGTGCCTTGAGCAGGCAGCTCACAGCTGGTTTGTTGCAACTTTGTACCATGAAAATAGCTCTGAGACAAGAAGCAAACCTTACTAACCCACAAGAAGCCAAATTACAAAAGCAACACACCTCAGAGCAGCAAATATCTACGGAATCTTGTTTGAAATAAATATAAAGTGGTCTGAGCTGTGATTTGTCTTTTTTTTTTGTCCATCTTTAACCTTTACAGCCACGCTTTTTCCAAGAACAGCACTTTTGCATCTACAAACCACATTCTAAGACTTATTTTACAATCCATAGAAATATGGGAGAACATCCACATAAAAAAATAATAATGCAGTATTAAAAGGTTATGAATGTGGGGGGATAAAGATGCTTTCTCATATTTATGGCCAAACCAATATAAGATGCATCTACTAATGTTGAGAACTGCACTGGTTCCCACAATGCATTATTAACGAACCAATATTTCTATGGCAACAACATAAAAGTGTAGAAAGAAGTCAATCTGCTTCATGATTGCCAGTATGAGCAGCATGAGACTATCGTTTGTGTTATTTTTTTTATTTTATTTTGTCGAATTAAAAAACTAAAACTGTACTTCTAGAGTGTCCGTAGGAGCTGTAGAGGGGAATGCTCCATTGGTCTTTACAAAAACAAGCAAAACAGTAGATCACCACCTTTTAAAAACAAAACTTAAGAAACAATGTTTTTGTATTTTATGTACTCTAACTTACAGGTTTAGCAAAATAAAGTCATAAACTGTTTAAAACATTGAGATAATTTGACAATAGAGCTTCAACTTAGAAAGACCTGAATTAATTTACTGTAAAATGTGTTTTTTTTTGTTTCTTTTCTGTTTTGCCAACCAAACTTTGCTAAGAAAAGATAACAGTGCAGTGCCTAAAAAAATAAAAAATAAAAGGAACCAAAAAAGTAAGATTTCCAAAGGTAAAATAATTAAATACAAAAAAATATATATATATATTTTAGTTTTCTTTCTTTATTTTATGTTTTTAAATCATGGTTGTTATGGGGAGTGGTGGCCTAGTGGTTGGAGTATAGAGGTTGGAATCATGAGATTGTGAGTTTGAAACCCACTCCCTGAGCAAAGTAGCCTGACGTAGTCCGACTCAATTCTAGTCAGAATATGAGTCTGATACTGCTCCATAGAGCTGTGATTATGGGGCGTGTTTCGAATGAACCAGGAAAAAAAATGCCTCTGCACTCAATTGGATAGACCTACAACCAATAAGAGCAACGGAGTGCGTGACGTATGTTAAGCGAGGCATAGTTGTTGTCCACAAAAATCAAAGCGTGCAGTTTCACGCCTATAATAAGAAGATGAGCCTTGATCGCGTTTCTCTGTTCCTCTTTTAAAATTAATTTCCTGTCGATATCTTCTAGAACAGACCTAATAGCAGAATCTACACACCTCAACTCTCCAGCGGCAGCCAATGTTGTTGTCACCCAAGCGCGCTTTGGTGACGTGGTTGATTACATTACTGTTGATCATCTGTCCATCATCGTATAAAGCCCGCCCTGACAATTTGATTGGCCCGCCAGATATTGTGCGAGCATACTCACGCTACTATTGAGCAATGCCAGACCGAACTTCCCGACCTCAAACGTTGTGGGCGGGACTAAGTTCGGAATGGCATCCAGGCTATGAGCAAAGACCCTTAAAGAGTGCCCCCCAGGCGCTGTACAATGGCAGCCCACTGCTCCCCAAGGGGATGGGTTAAATGCAGAGAGGGAGTTTCGTTGCGCTGTAATTGTGACAGTGTAAGAATAATAAAAAATGCTGGGGAAAAAAAATTGTTGAGTTGAGAGGGAAATGGAGGGAAGGTTGCAGCACTCTTGCATGAAGTTGTTCCTGAATGAGGAGTCACAGTTTCATATTTTCATTAAAATTAAGACAGTGGAAACATAAAGGATGCTTTTAAAAATATATATATATTTTTTATGACATGTCATGACCCCTCTGAAGCTGTAAAAGCTATCAGATAAAAGGTTGAACAGAGGACAGCAAACCTGCTATTCTAGCCTTTTCAACTTACAATGTGTAATTAAAGTGAATCATGGCCTGCAAGCTCTCTGAGCCAATAGCGTGGGATCAAAATTATGTTGGAAAAAAAAAGGCAGTTTCTCTAAAATAAATGACAAAATTAATTATATGACCAGAAATAAAAATGAGGCTGATATTAAGTTCTGGACTATCTATAATTTGCAGCCCAAAGGAACCTCAAAGATTTTAAACAGTGTCAAGCAGCCCCACAGTCTTAATGAACTTTCTAATATTTAACACTGTTGCAGCTTTGGCTTCATAAAGCCTGACTGGAGGGATACTCCATAATTAAACTGTTTAAATAATGATGAAGCTGAATTTTACTCAATATGTCCAAGATGCTCCATAATAAAATACTAGTGAGAGGGAGTCCGGCTAATGGATCTGTAAAAAGTCTGATTTCTATCCGTATGTGTTCTGGGTATCAATATTTATGTAATGCTGCATTTGAATGTTGTCAATTATAAATGTCTTGAACTGAAAAAACAATAAATGGTTCAAATATTGCATTGTCTAAAGTTCCATGGAAGGCATCATGCATGTTTTCCTCAGCCTCAACAGTTTGCAAGTTCACCATGACTCATGACATATAGAGGATCAGTTTAATCGCATGCTGCTATGAGCAAATAGCAGTTTTTTCCCCAGAAAGCCCAATTTTACTTTAATCCTACCTAGTAAATGTGTTTAATGAAACTAAATGTGTTTAATTGAATGTATGTAACATGTCAGCAGTAACTCACCGACACAGAGTGACTGGCCCAGGCCTACTTGTGTAGTCTGATGCACAGCTTCATATGTCAGGGTACCCGATCTTGAAACGATGCCTGAAAGAGAGATTTTCAGAGACATTGTAAAGCATGTGGATATCTCATTTCCATTTTTAACGTTTTAACGGAATGACTTCATCGTGCCAGTGAAGATAAACAAGTCTGTTACCTTAGCTTTGAAGCAGCTCTTGCACAAAGAAGCCAGTGGATATTATTATTTTGTTCCATAAAAACCAACATTCTGTAAAGGTTCACTGGGTAACTACACATGATGCTTATCAAGCTGTCGATTGCAGGAGATCTTTGAGGGATTTTATAGAAGGTTATAAAAAGAAATGCATTAGCATTGAGTGTTTTTCCATTTCTATTCCTTCACATGCCCGCCGTATAAAGGTTGTTGCAGACGGACGACATGTCTGGGTCGTGACCTTTTAATCAGTCCACTCCACTGACTTGCCTGACTTGGCAAGCATTCTAACAAGAAGAAAAGGTTTTTAGCAGGACTGGAATGTTTCTCCAAGGAAGAGAGGGCTCTATGAGACACAGGGGCATTTAGAAAGAATTGACTCTGCTCTCAGAGTGTTGTAAAGTGTTTATTTTAGAGTGTTGTAAAGTGTTTGTTAGAGGACTCATCCTGCAACAAGTTCACTGTGAGCAGGATGATTAGAGAGGCAACAGTCTTACTAATAATAAATGCAGTGAATCTTGGAGTCATCAAGTCTGTGTAACAATCATCATGGTAACCAGTCTTTTTTGGAGGCCTGAAAAGATCCTTCTCTGTCCTACTAATGAATGTAAAGATTTGGGTTTTGCTGAATTCTGTTGGGACTTTAAATGGAATCAAATAAAACATTTCAGGATGAATGTATGAAAAAACATTAGGTTTAATTGAAACTCTGATATGCTACCCCGGAAACCTTGTTAAAATGGATGGCACCCCTAAAATCCCAAAGTTTTTAATGTGAAACTCTGGGAGCCTTTGTTGACAGTAGCTACTAAAGAGTTTGTTTCTACAGTAGAAAAAAAGACCCAACTATTTCCTCCAATTATTATTTTAGTTTTAAAGCATTTTAACTGGCTCCATTGTGCGGGGGTTGTATGGCGAAAACGTTAACAAACACAGAGCTTTCATTTTATTTGGAAAAACATTCACTTTTATTCTCCAGAGCATGCTTCCTCATAATACATTTTTTGTAGATACCAGGAAATCAGGGCCCCACAGTTAACAATATATAGTCTCATTTTCAACTTTTAGAAACAACAAACTAGAATTGGTTCCCCAGGAGGTTAAAAGTCCCAAACTTTGTAAATATTATGGAGGACTTAACTCTGCCCTACTGGCACAATGGGGGTTATTTGGTGGTCTGACAGCAGGAGTTTTAATAATTGCATCACTAGTTATTTTGATATATATAAATAAACTGAGTTAAGTGACTAAATTGTAAAAAAGAATATCATGCACCTGCAATAAATAAATACTTCAGGGGTGCAGCAGAGGTGCCAGTAAATGTGACCAGCACTAGCCTGATAAACCACACTGATAAACCAGACTAAATGTGAGATTAAAGATCTAATTTAGTCTGGCCCCGATGAATGAGACATCGGAAGGTTGTTGATGAGAACCCGTTTTTTTTTTCAAACTGCTGTCTGTGCCTATTGGCCAACGCTCTGACCAATGAGCTCACTGTGACGTAGTAAGCATGACAGAAAGCTGGTGGGGGAGCGTAAACAAACAGCCTGTCGGTAAAACGGCAAATACGTCCTTCTTAAAAATTAATGAGCGTAGAGCCTCTTCCTGCTCACGTTTCAACGAAAACCTCACGTCTAATGCTTCCAAAACTGATTCCAAAGCTGAGTCAAAAATCGCCATCAGAGCCAGCGGTCCTTCACGAACGACTATGCCAAGAGAGGACCACTGGTTGCCACTGTCCTCTCAACTTCGGAAATTGTTTTTTTAATTACGCATTAAATCAGTAAAAGAACCATATAGTGACACTTTAAAGTATAATATTCTCGCCTCAAATGATCTTAAAATGTACTTTTATTGAACAACAGCAACAGAAAGAGAACTTTTAACTTTCAATGGAGCGCTCCATTAAAAGCTGCTGCTGCCGCAGTGCATGCTACTGTTCAATAGTTGTTGCCATCTTCCTTGTTGTGCTTTCTCCAGCGTCGCGCAGCTTTGTCGTCACACCCTCAAAACCCCGCCCGCTTTGCATCCAGAAATTCAACACATCTCTGCGTTGTGATTGGCCCTCCAGTTCTAGGGCCTGGGGCATTGATCGAGGCTAGACCACTCGCAGGCAAACATGATTTTGGCCGCTGGCGGGTGGGGCTAGTTTACTAGGCTAGACCAGCACTACTTGGAATAAAAAATGCATATTTGTTGTTTATAAATAATATTTCAAAGATCTTGCCAAGTACATTTTTTAATGAAATAAAACAACTGTAAAGATTTAGAGATTAAATATTCTCACCAATTCTTCCTTTTTTGTGAATGTGTCCTGGCATAATACCAATCTTGCATTCTCCTGGCTGCAAAATAAAGACAGTAATGACATCTACTTTTTATAAAAAGACAAAATATTGTTTATTTACCAATATAAACTTGTATAAAATAAATATATAAACCAAATCATTATTGTTATTTTTCACAAATTCTTTTTCTAAAAAGCTGATCAGGAACCTCTTCTTTTTCAAAATAAAGCTTCATTTTCTGGGAATTGTTTCTTTTTACATGACCATAATCATATATTTGCAATAAGTAAAATTAATAAAAATAGATTTCAGTTTCAGATAATATCCTATTTATTCACTGAATTGAAAATACACAGCAGTCCATGTAATAAAAACTCTACTTGCCATCTTTTTTTAAACCCAACATCAGCATCATCATAAATTTGTGTGCATGCTTACATTGATGACTCCTGGGCAGTTGGGGCCTACGAGGCGGGTGGCGCTCTGACGCAGAAGCTTATGCTTGACTTTTACCATGTCCTGCTGGGGAATACCCTCAGTGATACAAACCACTAGGGGTATCTCTGCATCTATTGCCTCTATGATGGCTGCAGCCGCGAAAGGAGGCGGTACATAGATCACAGATGCATCAGCCCCTGTACCATCCTTTGCCTGAAACAATGAATGAAAGTTGTTGAAAGAAACTAATTCTGAGCTTATCAAACAGTGCCACCCAATGGTAGGTAGTTGTATAAACATCCAACACAGGGTAGATGCTTGTGCCCTTATTATCTGTTCTTTCCATATATTTAAACATGTAAAAAGAAAGACTTGCCTCCTTGACAGAGTTGAAGACTGGCAGACCAAGGTGTGTTTTCCCACCTTTACCAGGAGAAACTCCTCCAACTAACTGGGAGCCATAATCGAGAGCCTGCTGACTGTGAAACGTTCCCTACCAGAGAGGAAGAAACAAGAATCAGTGTGCATGTGTGAGTGATGAACACAGCTTCTTCTAGAGCATCACCATTGAGATATCATTGCAGAGACGTTTAGGAGAAAATATGCTTCCATCCAGGATTAATCACCTCAGGAGCTGGGTAAAGGCTGAGCTTTACGGGGGAAGATGAAGCCAGCAGAAAATTTATTTAGTGAGAAGGAATCGAAATGTCCTTCACAAATAAATAATGGTGTGATATTAGTTTAATCTCCTGGCAGAGCATTTGAAAAACAAATTAAAAAGCAGCCTGGGTATTCCCCTGTGATACTGGCTGTATAATATTTCGCAAGGAAGAGACTTTGCAGGGATATTTCACATGCTGTCAGCATCACATACTCCAAGGAGGAAGTGTGACATCTGTGGCGCAACATTATGGGAATTTTAATTATGACACTTCCAAATGTTTGCGTATAGCTCAGAGAACAATAATGGGTCATATCTGAAAGGAAACTCAAAAACAAATATAAAAGACAATAGTTTTTGACAAGAAAGACAATTCATATTCATTCTTTTTGCTGATATCTATTTCAGGTTTACTTTGAGGGCTGTCATTCCTTAGTCTCTCTTATCTCATTTGAAAGGATTCTAACATGAATAAGAATCATGTACTGTAGGTTCTTTGAGGTTGTAGTTGTAAATCCACCTGATAAACAAGGAGTTCAATGATTCACTAAAATTAACATTCTTTAAAGTGTCTGCTCTTAACCAAAACTAAAATAAAGTACTTAAATCACTTGTGGTTGGTTGATGTATCTACAGGCTGAAAATGAGTTTGAGCTTTTAGTTTAAATGTATCAATAAGTAAGTTATTTTTCTTTCAAAATTCGACTTGCACTATGTTTTCTTCGGCACCTTGTTTTTTTTTTCCCCACACTGTCTACATTTTATCACTGCTACGCTTTCAGAAATGGAAATGTCATGAGAGCTGTACAAAAACGAAATTTTGTGTACACTGTGTATACAAAATGACAAAAGTTGTCAAAGTCTAAGTAAGTCTAAGTCTTTCCAATGACAGATCGGAACAGATCAGTAGGAAATTGGCCAATCTTCTTATCCACTGGATAAATGATAGAAATGGAAAGTAAAACAAATATTTTCTGTCTCATCATCCTGTTTTGTAAGAACTCAAATTAAAGAAAAAGACAAAACAAACAAAAAAATATATATTCTTAAATTTATATTATTTCTATCAGTTTGAAAAGCTGTCAGGCTGACTTTGGATGATCTTAAAGGCATACTGCAGACTTTGTGACCTTAAGAGTCGATACATATGAGTTATTTTAAATGATTCCTCAGGCCAAAATACAGCACTTGACAGTAGGGCTGTGAATCTTTGGGATTCCCACAATTCGATTTAGAATCGATTCTTGGGGTCACATTTAGATTTTTTTCCGATTCTTTTAAATCCAAATGATTCGATTCAGAAAAGATTAATTTACGATTCAAAATGGTTCTCAGGATCTTTTGCGATAAAAACAAGCCTTGGATTTTGTTATCTTCTTTGCCCGTTCACAATTATGTGGCAGTTTTTCAAAGTGGTGAAGTGTGCGCTGGTCGTGTTGGCACTGTCTTTACTGAATTATCCAATTCTACCAAAAACTCTGGGTGATGTCTTTCGATATGAGAACTGGGATTTTAAGTACTCCCGAAATAATTAACTTTACCGTTGTGATCTCTGCAAATCGCATGAGTCATGTCAAGCCCTTTCTTATCTGGGCCAGATTGAAGGTAAAATCCAAAGGGTTTCCAAATGGTTGCTTTTAAAGACCGTGGAGGCGGTTGAATTTTTTTTTCTTTGTCCTCCATACTTTAGCGGCAACAAACACAGTAGCTCACACAACACTACACACCAATCTGTAGCCTGCTAGGCTAATGCTTGCATGTCTGTGCATAGCTCACGCTGCTCATTGGTTTCGCCAAACACTACGGTGCCTGATAAGGCACGTTCGCACCCACAAAAAAAATCGTTTTTGAAGAAAATGAGAATTCTGAATCTTTAAATGTTAGAAACAAGATTTGAGCTCAAATTGATATTTTTTCTTCACACGATCAATGCTATGAGCAGGGTTCCCCTTTTAAAATACTGCCTATGTAAGTTGGGAGAAGATGCACGATCGTTTGCCAGGTCGTGTGACCTTGAAGAACAAATCTCCTTACAGCAACAAGCTCTTATATCATCATGGAGCTAAGCCTTTTGCTCTACCATTTTTCTGCCTGCTCGACTACTGGTCATGGCTGAGGCAAGGAAACAGTTTAAACCTTCTGAGGAGGCTTAAAAGAGAAAAAGTGAAAGGGATCGTGCTCAAGGAAAAACGAGAGTCATTCATGGAAAGGAGTTTGTTTGCTGTTGCAGGCTCAAAGAAGAAGCCGGATGTAAAACCGATTGTCTCCTCTCAATTTTACTAACACTCCTAGTATACAGTAATATGTCTTTGTTATTATTTTTGATGTTACAAGTCTAGCCCCTCTAGTGGCCAAAGGTTACACAGTGTGCCTTTAAGTGTTTTGTTGTATTTCATTACCCGAGCACTGGAAATCACTAATCCAGCTTATTTTTTATATTGTTTTTTCTTTTTCTTTCCTGATAAACTATCTGGTTCAGATTTTTCCCCCTAAGAACTGTGATTTAATAATAATAATAATAATAAAATAAAATAATCAATCAACGGCCTCACTAATCACCTGAAAGAGAACAACAACTTGGACCAACTTGGGAAGACAAATGTCTTTATGCATGTCTTGGATAAACCTCAGATAGCTTATTATCAGAGATAGTTGCTTGGTAAACTTGGAAAGCACTCAGAGAGCGCAGATCTCTGCGTCGTAGCTCATTTCCCAAAATATTGTGAATTTCCACCTTCAGCTAATACCTGCATTCACATTATCTTTCAAAAACTTCCTGGATCCAGATGGTGATCCGGATCATCACCATAACTGAATCGTTACAAATGTTTTAGTTATTTTGAAAACAGACAAACAGAAGGAAAACCAACAAAGATGAAAACATAACCTCCTCGGTGGAGGTAATAATATTAATTACTGTTAGCAATATGCATCGATTTAAATGAGCAAGAATTGAACTGGCTTTAAAGCTGCAGGAAAGGAAGATCGGATGTTAAAGAGAGCATGTGATGAGAAGGTTGATCATTATGGCAAAATTAGGTAAACATTACAACTTATCACAATTATCACCTTCAAGGATCATTTAAAAATAAAAATTGTGAGTTTAACAAAAGCATCCAACTAAAATAGCAGAAACCTGTATTGGACTGTAATTTAATACGCTTAGATATTTCTGAGATAACTGGTGCAAAAAGTGATTTTCTGCCAGACTAACCCATAGAGGATGTAATCAGTTAAAGGCGAAGATAAAAACAATGCAGACGAAGCAGCCTTAGCAGAAACGAGAAGTGGAAATAAATGACCTTAATGAAAAAATGATAACTAGCCTATTAGGTAGAATTGGAAGCCATGCATCAGCATTTTCACCTTCATTTGTAATAGACTCTTTCACCCTGCTAACTCTGCTGTTTTTGGTGGTCATTACAATCCAAAATGTTGGGTCAATAATTTAGAAAAATTGCCTGCTTATCAAGCCAGGAGGACATGGCCGTGTGCACTCAATAGCACTTACTTCATTTCTCGTCTTCCTTTAATTACCAGGAGTGTTCACCGGAACTTATTTAACAACCTTAGATGTTAAACTGGAGAAACAAATGTGCCAAAGGACAGAGGGCGGATATGAATCTGTGAGAACCAGGCCTCTGGCTTATTGAGCTCACTTTGTCAAGACTTTTATCATCCTTGCCTTGTTTTAATGAGAACCTCCTCAGCTTTTCCATTCTTAAAGATTAACTTCAGGAATAAACAATCTGTCATTCAGATTTATTACTGTCGTCCTATGAATTGATTAAGTGTTGAAGGATTGTTGCTGGGATAAAAAAAAAAAGTCACAGTGAAAAATGAAAGTAATTCATTTTAAGACAGGACCTTATATAAAGGCAAAACAAAAACTTGCGGAAAGAAGTTAAGAATGTAGAGTATTTATGCCATGATATGATTCTAACAGTAGTTAATATCTAACCCACTGAGTGTTTAAAATAAAACCGCTTTGGCTATAAAACAATTACACCAATGTTTCCATTTCCAGCTCATACACTGGATAACACAGATATACTGCACGTTCTTCAATGGTTATAAAACCTGATAATTACTCTTTAAGTGAACTAATGAAAAGTTAAAGACTTTACTAAAAGTGTTACATGTATCTGAAGTGGTGAAAAGAAAGAATCCAAATGGGATTTGTTACCAACCTGCTTCCCTGTGAATCCTTGGCAGATGACCTTCGTGTTGTTGTTGATGTAGAGGTTCTTTCTCGTTCCTGTATAGCAGTGTCTGACTCCACTCTGCTGCACTGTTGGATCGATACAGAAGAAAAGCAACACAGGGAGCAATCAGGTGAAAGACATCAATACACAAGCTGACATTATTCCACAAAGCCTCTGGTGGACGTGGCTAGAAAACATTCAGTTCAATAAAATATCACTGATCTAATATTCAAAGAATACTTTTTCACATCTAAGGAAAATATTGAAGGGAAATTTTTAAGTTTTTCTTCATTTTAAGCCAAGTTAAAATCTCTCCACGGTATTGGCAGAAATCCCTTGTACTGTTTACCAAGCAACACTATCAGCTTTGTGCAGACTTGACGGCTACCTTTTAAAGAGGACAGATTTAAAACGTTTTTAGAATCAACAAATTTGCTTGCTTTTGCACTAGAGATGAGAGCATATCAAAAAGTTTGAGATACCGATTTGGCATGCATGCCTGTTTACAAAATACCACAGCAGGTCCCTACAGCTTCGTTTCACAGATTTTATTCTAAAAAGTTCCAGTGAACCGAGGTGTGAAAACTGATAGAATGGCAAACAGTGCAACACTGAGGCCATCATCTGGCAGAAAAAAACGTTTCCACCCGATGCTGGAATTGATATAAAAAACATGAATTTATAAGATTTTTTGACAGATAAAATGAAACAAACAAAACAAGGTTAAATTAGTTAATCATGTTAGCTACTTATTGAGTAAAAACCTTTACCTGGATGAGTTTCTGAAATGTCAACGTGAGCTTTGGGAATTAAGGGTGGCCTTTGTTTTTTTCCATGGCTTCCTGACATTTAATAAGCTACTTTATTAACCAACGTATAAAAGAAAAAAAAAAACAGATTTTTTTTCCGTAGTCTAAAAGTTTTAACTCAGTCATCACTCCACTCTGATCTCAATGATCCAAAGAGGAGCTAAAAGCTCCAGCAAAGAGGTTTTACTGCAGCTGAGAGACACAAAAATGAAAAAGGACTCAAGCCTAAAAAAATGTTTTTATCGATTCAAGAAGAGAATTTTAGATATGTATTCCTAATTGCACTATAGAGAAATACCTGCATCTTTGTCCTTTATTCCATAATCATAGATTAGCTGCTCCACGCAGTATAACAGTCATTAATCATCATAACACAGATGATCCAGGTTGCAGCATGAATGTTAAAAAAAGACGTCATTCTTTACGGGTTTGTTTTTCTCCTGTGATTGATGTGGATATTTAAACAATAAGGGGACACAATAGTCGATATTCAGGACAGGTTGTTTTTTAACATATGGATAATTCTTTTCCACACAGACAATCATTTGTTGATATGAGCTCAGGGTTTTGCCGTTTTAACAAAATATCTGTTGTCACTGAAACAGTTTGACTTAGAGAAAGTATCAATGACTCTAAAAATGTTGACATGTTGAATCATTACACCCCTAAACTTTAGTGCATACTATTAAGAGTTCATGTGAATGAACAACACAAAGTGCATAAATCTGAAGTGGAAGAAAAATTATAAATCTTTTTTTTTAAACAGTAGCTTCTTACATTTTAACAGAAAAAGAATGACATGCAGTTGTTTTCAGGGCATTTAAGACCTGAGGTTTTAATTCCATTTATAACCAAGTCTGATTCATTTCCTCTGTTGGTGGAAGTTTGTGTAGATGTGAATTAGGATGGACCAAAACATTGCCTGAATTATATTTTTTGGATACTATTAGTGTTATTTTTCTATTGGTATTAACCAATAGAAAAATGAGATTAAATGAAGCACAGGCACGGCTGCAGCCTGTGTCATTGTTAATGTTTAGTTTGATTCGTTTGTTCTTTATTTGGCTTAAATTGAGATTTATGTAACATTTGTTACCACTATCTCACTTGTATCATGGAAATGGAGGAAGGAAAAGCAATATTAGTTTCAAGAACTGGGCTGTAAATTTCACCAGCACAGCAATTAGTGTGTGGATCCCGGAAACATGGATATAAACTGAACATTCTCATGTGGAGTTTGGATTTAGGTTTGGAGTTTTATCTGCATAAAAAAAAACCAAATCAGCCAAAACAGCTCCAAGTTAGCAATATTATTTACTCCATTTGCTTGTAACTTACTTTATGTGTTTGTCATGTATGCTGTACAGATTTTTTTTTAGCAATTTGGTCAGTTGTGTGTTGTTGTTTTTTTAAGTGGTTAGTAATAAATGTGGCTTGGTAGACAAAACGTGAAAAAGCCCTTAGTCCTGTTTACTGTCCAACCTCTAAATAAAAACCAAATATCAGAACGGCTAAGACCTTCGGATGGAAAAGATGGTTAAAGAAGGTTACTCAGGTTAGATTAGATCAAATAGCTGTGACAGAAAACTGACTCAGTATGTCACCCTGAACACATTATACCCAAGGAGAGACACGGTAGTTGTAGCATCATGATGTGGGGATCATCCAAAGGAACGAAGAAGCTGTTCAGAGTTGATCGGTAGCGGGATAACAGCCGTAAACATATAACCACAACTATGATAAAACAGTTTTTTTGTGTCTGAATGGGCTAAATCATACTGAAGGTGAATGCCAAGATTAGAGTAATTATCAATCAATGCTCTGCATACAGTCCTATTCAACCAGCTATTTTTTTGTGAAAAGTAGGTTAAAGTTAGTTTCTGTAGAAGTGCACCGTTTGTGGAGACCAAACCCAAATAGACAGTTTTAATTGCAAAAAAAGGTTGTGTGAAAAAAACAAACAAAAAAACATGCAGAATTTGAGATTTATATTCATATAAGGGCTTAAAAACATTTAATGCATCATTTAGCTTCCCTTTACTTCACATCTAACCCCTTTTTTTATTTTATATGTTGAAGTTTATGATTATACCGAGAAGAAAAAAAACATCCAGGGTTTGACAGATCATTAAAAAGTCTTTTATAAAGTCTGAAGAGTAAAGCAGCCTGACTGACATCTATCAGAAAACAGCAGCAGCTGCAGCTCAGTGATTGAACTTTGGCCTCTTTCTAGTCCCATTTAAAACTGTGCAATGTCAATGTGCAAAGTTCAAACGGTCAATAGGAGTAAAGCTGTGCCAATGTCATAATCTAGCGTAGTACACGTTGCTATCTTTTCAACAAAACTCTAAATAATACGTGGAGCAAAGCTAAAGGCTAACATTATAGAGATAGAGGATAAATCCAACTGCAAGAAAGCTAAACCTGCGGCTAATTTAGCCACTTCAGCAGCAGTTGTCCAAACAGCTAACTGTGCTTCAAATAAAGTTAGCGGAGTCAAACACTGGGGATTGCATTCAAGAGTGAATGTATTTTTTTTTCCAACTGTGAATGAAGCTCTAAGCCAGTTGGCTAACTGTCAGGGAGCTTTCCCAGATTACTTTCGCCGCTGATGTGTCTGACTTTGAGGGCTCAGTGGGAGCTAACCCAGCTGTCAGCGCAGGGCTGCTCACTAAGCTCGGCAAAAATAAACAAAGTCATGTACTGTCTTGTTTAAACTAGACTATCAAACATCGCAAGTTGAAAAACTTGCACTCAAATAAAATACTTACAAAGCAGCCTGGCAAACAACCTGCTATGAGACATCTTCGGTCATTCAGCAATGACACCAAAGGCTAAGGACTGGCATGGAACATTTAGCTGACTTCAAATGGTCCAGTGAAACCAAGCGTACGCATGAGTCTGAAAATAGAATACATTTGTCATAATACACAAAGAATTACATTAATTAATAGAAAACGTGTTACATTATTTTTAAACGTGTGTAAAATATATATAATATTAAATATATGCGTTTTTATTATGTTTTTCCTACAGGCAAAACTGTTGGACTCTTTCACTCGCAGTGCACTCTGGATATTGAAGTCCTAGACAGATTAGATTTAAAAAAAAAGCGTGCTCTGGACATCGCTAGAGGGCGCATCAGTCTTATTCATCCATCCATCCATTTTCATTTTAGTAAAACTCGCTGAATAACTATGAAACAGACACGTATAAACTTGAAAAGACATGTTATCTGAGTTTTAATCTACAATACAAGAGAGGAGAGAGAATACAAATTTGAGTTATATTCATAAAGCCAGAACAACATTAGTACTAACACACTTTTAATAAATGTAACCAGCAAAAACACTTGAATTTACTTTACAGTATTCATTTTCCACGTTTAGGGAGCTTAGTCTTTTATGCATTTTTTCTTCAGTTAATCTGAATTATTTTACCATTTTGTTATTTCACAGCCAACCCCTCTGCCACTACTGAATGATTTTCTCAAAATTGTAAATGTTCAAAGCCCTTAAGATTTGTTTCTTTTGTACTTTCTACATGCACTTATTCTGAAATTGTTTTGACAATTCTTAAAACAGTTCTCAGTTCTTATTCAGTTTTCACAAATGCTATCAGTAGTTTTTAGGCTCTGTATAGCAGTTGTTTTCTAGTGGTTAACACATCTTACTCTATTAACCATGTGTTAATAACATTTGAAACAGCTTATTTCACATTCTTCGATTAATAACTTATAATGTTGCATTTTGTTGGCATTTCTGCATAGCATTTAAGATATATCTTCGCACAACCCTGGTGTATAATATATAGAGAAAGGGGCTATACATAAGTAAGCCTGGGCATTGATGGGAGATGAACCTAACTACATGTCAGCACAGTATAAAAAAAGAACAAAGTGACACAAGAATAGACCAAAATGTTGTTAAAGATTAAAAATGAACACTCACTTAAATGCTGCATTAGGAAGTACGCATGCAACAATTGATAACATTTTCCTTTATGCATTCTTGTGGAAACTTTTGCAAGAAGTGCAATAATACTCACCTATATGTTGAAACAGCAACTTAAAATAAGTTCAGATTTGTAGATGTAAATGTAGTTCTTACTAGAAATATAATTAGTGACATCTAAAATACAATTCTGACTAGGAGTGTTGTAATTGTGACAAGGTAGAATGCTTTAGTGCTATCTATAATAGAAATGTGACTAGTCAGCCTGTACATTTTATGTTAAAATGGAGCCCCATTTCTTTTTTGAAGGTAAGTCAAAATATGTTTTTAAGTATCTAAAACAGCATTTTGGATGGGCATTATTAAAATTTGGATATCTGAAATTTCAGTTTAACTAGTCATATATCAATAGTTGATATCTGTAATTATATTTATACTTTCAAGAACTGGATTTCTGGATATCTAGAATATTATAATGACTTTTGGTATCTGAATACTAATTATAACTAACAGTAACTCTATTATTGGGATCTGAAATTAGAGTTCATCCTCATCAGAATTCAGTTTTAGATGTTATTTTAAATATCTGAAATGTTAATTTTGACTACGAAGAAATGCATTTCAGACATTTTAACTATATATTAGGTCAAGCCAATAAATGTCAAAATGGCCACTTAAAAATTGTAAAGATTTGTAGGTATTTAAAAGTTTATTCTTATTAGGACAACAAATTTTTGGCAGCCTGAAATTAAATTTTTTGCTGGCAAAAATGTAATTTAGGATATCTATATACACATTTCTGGCTAGCAGGAATGTAGTTTTGACTAGGAAGAATCTTATTGTAGAGATCAACAAATGGAACAACAGAGAGGACAGGGCTTCTAAGAAATGTCAAAACGGACTGCCTGTTTTATGTTAAAATGGAGCCTCATTATTCTTTTGAAAGTATCTAAAAGTAAATTTTAGATAGGCATTACTAAAACGGAGATATCTGGAATTGTGATTTAACAAGACATGATATTAGTAATAAAATATCTACTAGTATAAATATATATTAGATGTCAAGATTTGGATTTTTGGATATCTAGAATATTATATTGATTTTTGATATCTGAAATAGTATTTCTGACAAGCAGTAACTCTATTATTGAGACCTGAATTAGAGTTCATACTCCTCGGGATTCATTTTTAGGTAGGAAGAAAGTTTATTTTAGATAAGTTGAATGTTATTTTGGATATCTGGAACTAAAAGCACATGAATGGGAAACGTGACGTCATTTGTACTAGTAAGAAATACATTTCAGATAACTTAAATGTATATTTTGACAAGGTAGAAATGCATTTCAGACATGTGGAGTACATTTTCAGTCTAGCTAGTGAATGTCAAATTGGCCTCCCTCCTTTTCTTCCTCATTTTAACTTGTCCAATCAGAAGGCACCAACTCCTCTGACAGCGATTGGTCACTAAGGTCACGTGTCACTGCTACGGAAATTCCTAAAGCCTTTTTACGTTCCGGTTGATCAGTTTCGCTGCTGTGGCGACATAAGGTTACGTACTGGCGTTGAGCTGCGCTCAGTAAACAGCGCAGTGGCTCAAACCAACCCCAGGAACTACCCAAGTCAAACACATAACCTGGCCCAGCAGAGAAAGTCAAGATGGTTTTAGAAACGATTGCAAAAATAATAAAAGTGCAGCTTCCGGCCTATCTTAAGAAGTTGCCGCTGCCAGAGACAATCGGAGGATTTGCGCGATTAACAGGTAATTAACGACAGTTGGGGACAACTGATCGGGGACACTTTAATGACTTAGCATACATGTGTAGCCTGCATGAGCATCACAACTCTACCCGGTGATTTTAGAGCTTAAATAGCACATAGCGAAATACAGGAAGAGAAATACACCATGTAATAGAGCTAAGGAATTATATAGCTCTTTCTCAGGGTTCATACGAATATATGAAAAAACAACAGCAACAAATTGTATGTAATGTAGAGATTTAGCTGCATGGTGTGGGGTATTTCGGTTTAATTTTAGTTTAGGGCAGCAGTACTTTTCGGGGGGTTCGGTTGATAAGCAGGAACAACGTAGTGCAGATGAAGAAGGCTTGAAATGTGGCTGCTGTTATGAAAAAATGGAAAGAATAAGTGGAAATGTGGTTTGCAGGGGAACTGTTAATGGGAATCTGATATTTTTTTAGACTGGGTGGGGGTGTCTGGATGTTCTGCAACTCTCCAACAGATCTGCTTGTTCTTACTTTTACCAATTTATTTTACAAGATTCATTAAAGATTTTCTGAAATGAGTACCATAACAGGTGTATACGCAAAAAAAATGGAAAAAAGAAAAACAAACTGTAACAATAATTTATTCATTTTCCTGGATTCTTAGTCATGCATCTGTTTCTGCAGGCAGCAATACTTTAATAGACGACACAGGAATGTCTTGGGTAATTGAAAATTATTTAAAACCGTTTCCATTTTCAGATGATGCATTAAACTGAGCTCTGTAAGAAATGTAATGCTTTAGATTTCCTTTTCCAATCAAACTCTGTGTGGAACTTCCCAAAAGCTTCATACAGGCAGGAGCCACTTGGTGATTTACCCAATCAGCTCCAGGGATTGCACTGAATGTCCCTCCCATTTGTGAACAATTTCTACAGCAGGTTTGCCAGGTTGATACTGTGCAGAATTCAAATTGAACTACACAGATCAGTCTGGCTTATGACAGGTTAAGTAGTATTATGATAAAATGTAAACAAGTTTTATTGGAAGAAATGCTTTCTTTAAACTTATTTTTTTTTTTACTTATTCACATAGTGCCTGGCTAAGTTAAATAGACGTTATGTATGTTTTTCTGAAAATATCTTTAAAATATTCTTTTTATTTGACCCTTTACGACTAAAACATGGTTTAATGAGCCGTCTGAAACCTCAGGATTTAAGCGCCGATGCATCTATAAAGCCGCTTTCCCAATGAAAACCCAGGTTTTTCATAACCCGGTTAATCCGCTAACAATCAGCTTTTCGCTCTTTTCCCCATTTGACCGAAAAGCAGAGTCTGACCCCCTGCTGTCAAGCTGTGTGGCCGCTGTCCTCCAGCACTGCCTGTCTGATGACGGCATCAGGCTGGATGAATGTTGATATCAGTGTTGATGATTATAACAGTGCGACGGAAATCAAGGAAGTAAATAATGGAGATGAACATGGACAGGAGCCAGAGCATAGTCGGTGTTCTTTATTATTTAGCTCTTTTGTCTGGTCATCCAATTTTGGCTTTTTAGATCAAATGCGGCTGGCGCAGTGCGTTGACTTCTGTATGTTGCGTTCAATGGTGTCATGTAATTTATTGGGTCAACCTGGGTCTGGGGTTCCCACAGCATGCTGATCAGAGCGAGGCCACTTTAATGCGGGTCGCTTGCTGAGTCATTTGTCCCGGGTAGACACGCATCAGTGATCTGTTCCCACTGCCAGTAAAAGCTGATTAGTCCCGAGTTTAAAAAAAAAATTCCGCCAGTGTGAAAGGGGTGTAAGCCTGTAGCCTATTTTCCAGAATTTACTTTAGGTCGGAAGTTCCTGCACTTCTTGGCAGATGTGACGTCAAGCGCATCCGTGTTAAAGGCTTCGTTCACACTGCAGCCTTAAGTGACCCAAATCCGATTTTTTTTTTCCACTTTGCTATGTGGTCATTAATCTGATACAAATCTGATCTTTTCAAAAGCGACCTGTGTCTGAACGGCCAGGTCGCATTCATCCGACCTGAACGCCATTAAGGTCACTCATTCAGGGTCTTGCTATGAAGAAGCGGAAAGAAAAACAACTACCATTGCAGATGACAATGCGGAGAGCAGTATTTATGTTTAACCATCCTGAAAAGATTGAGTTTTTATGGTTGGGAAAAATCGCTAGATGCGCTCCAGCACTACCATACATGTTTACTGCCGTAAACATGAAGCACGCTGGCCTGTGATGTAATTGCGTCCTCTACTGCGCATGTGGGACAGTTGCATTGTATGACTGCAGTTCACACAGGAGATTACATACAAAATATTTGGAAATTTGAACGTCAACGCGAAACAATCGTATTTTACAAAAAAATCGGAATTGAGCATCAAGGCCTGCAGTGTGAACGAAGCCAAATTGGTCGGACCTGGCAAATAATCAAAGCGTTATATGCAAGATGGATTTTATGGGTGCTTAGCAGCAACAAGCATCCAGCTAAACCCGGACACGAATGGCAACTACCGGTAATGTGAGCAAAGTAAAAAAACAAACAAAAAAAAAACAAAAAAAAACGTCAAGTTCGAGGGGAAGCTATGAGAACAAGAAGAAGAGAGCTGCAGTTCTGTGTTTTTCCCACAGGTGGCCGTCATTAGAAAACACAATAACGCCTCTTTAAGGTCATGTACATGTATTCAGTGTCATATTAAAGGTTGCACACAAATACTGCTTTATAAAAATATTCTCTACAATTCAACAGCACAGTAGGTCTAAAGTAACCAGAACATTTGGTCACCTAATTCACCAGTTTGAAAAGGGGGAAAGATTTAATTTCCAAAGATTATTGCTTTGATTTTATTTTATGATAAACTTAAAAGTGCTGATTAAATCATCCTGCTTGCTAATGCTTTTTTTTTTGACAAATTTCAAGTTTTAATTTTCTATTTCAATAAAAATGGAAAAAGAAAACCTTTTTATTTCAAGGCTTGACCTTTATGTCATGTTTTAGAGATGATTCACACTAAATTGTCCAGCTTCAATGACTAAATGTCTGATTAGTGCATGACTCATTTTTAACTTAACATTATGAGATTAAAGGTTAACAAGCTATTATGGGTTTAAATACATTTGTTCATGTATTTCATAGTAGGTTGAAGTATTTTATTTTGTTACCAATTAAGAAAATTAAGCTTTAAATCATCAAAGGATTTTTTAATATTGGTCAAAGATGAGCTGAGCATTTAGAAAAGGCAAATGTCAAATTATTATTTTAACACTAAGGGAAAACATTTGATTAACTGGGCATTACAGTGTTTTCTAATGATACTGCCACCTGTGGCCAAAACACAGAACTGCAGTAATTGATAAGTTTGTTTTTTTTTTCCACTTTACACGGAGTTGCCATTGGTGTCTGAGTTGAGCTGGATGCTGGTCGCTGCTGAGTATCCACAAAATCTATCTTGAATAAGTTAAGGTCTCTCATTTTACGGATCTTAATCAATTTCAGACTAGATCAGAACAACAAATTACTTTAACAAATATTACTCTTGAAACAGGTACCACTTGGCAATACTTGAATCTAAATACTTGTGATAAACAATACTTGATTCTAAAAAAAAAAAAAAGGATTATTCAATTTAATTCAGTTTCAATTCAGTTTATTTATATAGTGATATATAAATATATAGTGATATAGTGATAGTGATATTATATAGTTATAGTCACTTTACAGAGACAGTTCAACCAGATCATAGAGTCAAATTGAATTGAAGTTTTCTGTCTAAGGAAAACCAGCTGATTGCATCGAATCATTGACTCAAAGGTAATCCCTCACACTAAGCACGCTTCTAGCGACAGTGGTTTCTTCCTTTTAACAGGAAGAAACCCCCAGCAGAACCAGGCTCAGTGTGAGCGGCCATCTGCCAACGCCGACTGGGGTTCAAGGAGACAGAAGCAGACATAGAAATAGAAGAACAGATCCAAAAAGCAACTTCCATCCAGCTCCACAGGCGGCCCCGTCCAGGAAACACAGCCAGACAGACAAGCTCTGAGTGAGCTCCCATGTCAGAGGATGAAAGAGAGCACATCCAGTTAGTCACAGTCAGAGAAACAGGACTACACAAAAAACAGGCCAAGCTCCAACATCTAAAAAAAGGTGTTGATGGAAGCAGCACAGCTGATATTTCTCTCCATGATGGTGTCACAGTGAAAAAGGAACAGACCAGATGAAGCTATGAGAAAAACCAGAGCACATAATATGAGAGATGGAACTAAAAAATACTGCAGAATGACAAAATTAGATAGAATGAAACAGAATGATGGAAACAAGTGGTTGCAATGTCCTCCAGCAGTCTAAGCCTATAGCAGCATAACTATAGAGATAACTCAGGATAACCTGAGCCTCTCTAACTATCAAAAAGGAAAGTTTTAAGCCTACCCTTAAAAGTAGACAGGGTGTCTGCCTTACGGACTAAAACTGGTAGTTGGTTCCACAGGAGAGGAGCCTGGTGACTAAAAGATCTGCCTCCCATTCTACTTTTAGAAATTCTAGGAACCACTAGTAAACCTGCAGATTGAAGTGCTCCGTTAGGAACATAAGGAACAATCAGACCTCTGATGTAAGATGGAGCTTGGCCATTTAAGTCTTTATATGTGAGAAGGAGGATTTTAAATTCCGATCTGGATTTAACATGAAGCCAATGAAGAGAAGCTAGGATAGGAGAGATATGATCTCTCTCTTTTTATTTTTATTAGAACTCTGGCCGTTTAGGACCTTGTATTGCAGCTGTGCTCCAGCCTTGACCGAAGTCTGCTTTCTGTGTGCCCACAGTGTCTGAGTGGCTCCGGTTGCTTCCTCTCCTTGGCATTCTGGCTCTGCTGGGCTACCTGACCATCCGTCCATTCCTGCCTAAGAAAAAGAAGCAGAGAGACAGCCTGATCAACTTGAAGATCCAGAAAGAGAACCCTAAAGTGGTCAACGAGATAGACATCGAGGACCTGAACAGTGCAAATGTGTGTTACTGTCGATGCTGGCGCTCCAAAACTGTAAGTGGACTTCTTATCTTTGAGCTTAAAATGGCAGTACAGCTGAGCCGTGATGACAAGTTAGTCAGTTATTATATTGCCATCTTCTCAGATAAGTTAGGGTTAGAGGGTTATGCAACTTGTTAATCTGCTAACATAAAGTTATTTCCTGCTTTTAGTTTCCTGTTTGTGACAAGTCACACTTAAAGCACAATGAACTAACCGGGGACAACGTGGGACCTCTCATCCTTAAAAAGAAGATACTATAATTTACATCTGACTAGCCTGTACTGTTTTTTTTTTTCTTATAGTTGTGTTTTTCTTGAATAAAGCAGTCCATTGTTTAAGTGTGAATTGGAAACTTGTAGTTTGGGTAGTTCTCTTTTTTTTCTTCTCTCTTTTTGTGTGTTTTTTTTTTTTTGTTAAAGGCTCAGTTCTTCATGTTAAATAATTGTTTCCATATTATTTTCTAAGTGTTTTGTCTGTACGTTGGGTTTATATTTCATTTCACTGGGACCACTGTGAAGCGAAGCACCTGAGAGGTTATTGCAATGACTTTATGATAACTTTGAATGAGAATAGCTGGAGTTCGAGGGCTGGAGTTTCTTCTTTCCAGTTAAATAGTTATTTCGATGAAATACCCAGTTTCCTTGTCCAACCAGTTTGAACCATTTTGTCATGAATGCCTTATTTTATTGTCTCTAGAACATTTGCCAATCTGAGTGTCAAATATTTTCAACCGCATCACTTTCGAGATGCGAGATATTTTCAGATAGATAAAGATGTATGTAATGAATGTATAAGTATGTGTGGGATGCTTGGTAATCTGTTCTTCTCATGGACATGATTTATTTTTTTTTAGTTCTGTTGTGTTGAAACATTTCAAACCACTGCAACCTTATCTTTTAAAGGGGTCATAGAATGATTCTATAGGGTATTTGGTGCTGGTCCTTAATGTCTCTGAATAGGGTGTGTAACATTGGTTGGGCTGAAAATGGCACATTTGCTTTTCTATGAGCCCTAATGCAAGCCTGGTTTAAAGGCCAAGAATGAAACAACAGCTTTTCTTCCTTTTATGGTATGCTCATGAATATTTAGATGAGCTGTGCGCTGATTGGTTGGTTTACAACGAGCCAAGCTGCTGAGCAAAGACGGATCATAGCAACAAGCACTCACTAACTGAAACATCAACAGTGTTGATATGATAGGGTGACCAGACATCCTCTTTTTCCCGGACATGTCCTACTTTTCATACTTAAAAAAATGTCAGAGTGAAATTCAAAATCGTCTGGGATTTCGGTCGACTACAGTGCAGCAGAACCGAGCCATGAGCGACGGAGAGACCGAACCGACCCAGTGACGGTAGCCTGGACAACACAGGCAAGGCAGTCAGCCAAACGTTCCCAGGTTGTGGTGTCCTTACAGCTGGAACAGCCCCTCGTTTCAGTAAAAGAAGTTTAGCAAATCCTGCTTTGAACTGTCTAAGATTTTTAAAGCTGTCTTCTGTGAAATGCTTAAAGCAAATGAACAACTGAGCATCAAACTTCTTTTGATAGAAAAACATAATCCATGCATGTCAAGTCTTCGGATCCTTGGGAAGATTGTGAAAATGTTCCCCTTTCTCCGTGCATCCTGGAACTCTGCATTTCCGCCCGTGGTTCTGGCTCATTTTCAATAGAGAAAATGCCTGCTTTGTAATTCTTGTAGTAAACCCAACTGTAGGCTAAAAAGCTAAACTGGTGTCTTACATATACCTCTATTCATGTTCTTGGGCCAGTGAACCAGTGGATTGGTCTGTATGTCGATTTGGGGTGTGAGGAAAGTACAGGCCAGAACCAAATAAGGCAACATCCCCCAAATTGATGTCAATTCGGTGCTTCGTTTGGATTTGCCTGTTTTATGGTGGAAGTTTGGAATTGTGAGATTTGCAGAGAAAGGAGGTTTCGATGAGGTTTGAACTTTCCTGTACGTCCATTTCACCCACTAAACTATCGTTATTCATCTATGAAAATGTAAACTCAGTTTTGCATTCTATGACCCCTTTAAAGAAAAGAACTGCTACATAGAGACTTTTCTTTTACTTACTTTTTTCTGCTTTTTGATTTGCTATATTTTCTGCATGCTGACATTTTGGCAGAATAACTTCTATATTTTTGAGCAAAATATTTTCCGCACGTAGGTTTTTACGGAAGTCCTTTCATATATATATATATTTATATATAATATCACTTGTGATGTGTTATTCTCCAGAATTGTTCATAATGAATGATAAAAGTAAGGGCCCATGCATTATTTAACAGCTTATTTGCCATCATGTTTTAATAGTCTTCATGAAGCTTTCAGCTGAAAGTTTTAAAAGGATGCTCCTTTAACTCTGTCATGTCCTAGTCCGCTGCTTTGTTTCTGTATAAAAGGTCTCTGCTATAAAAATAAAAACAAGAATTTGTATGCTGCTGTGGGAGTGTAATAAAATGCAAATATGTGTTTTATAAGTTTGATGTTCCTCAGCTGCTCTCAAAGGATTTGTGCTCAATTTCAGTGACTATAGACGACCTGAAGGGATCAGCTTCTCGGTTTATGTGATTCTCGCTATTTTAATTGAAAATTTGAGCATGGAATATAATAATGAAAGCAAACATCATCAGGGTTACCATGTTAAAGACCTGTGTATAACTGAGAATTTGGCCTTGATCTATTGCTAGTTTGTATCAATATTCTGGATTTTTATTCGGTGCATAGAAGAATAATATATGAGTTCACAACAATAGCTAACCAGACCAATAACTGTATTTTAATCAGGTGAAGAAATGGTGAATTTATTAATTACCGTAGGTGAAGAAATGTCAGTCAGGTGGTATTAAGGTAAGTATAAAGATTGCATCTCTGACAAAAATTGGATTTCCTGAATTGCTCTGAAAAACATGTATTTTAAAGCAAGAATTAAAATGGAAGGCTTAAAAAGAGGTGCAGAAAATGATATGTTGCTGGGATAAAATGATCTGTACTGGTTTAAAATAGAAGCGCCTAACCAGAGAAATAAAGACATTACCATCCCAATGGAATAAAAGCCAAAACAGTAAAGACCCAGTCAATGATCAGCCTAAGGGGATGAAAGAATCCCTTTAACATTGAGTACCGTGACAATTAGAAAAAATTGGTGTGAAATCAGTCTATTGGTAGTAGGCCCTAAAAAGGTCCACCTTTAAAAAAGAGATGAAGAGAATGCATTTTGCCAAAAAGCATGAGCTGGCATACAGAGAAATGGTGAAATATTTTGTGTACTGGCTAAACTTAGCTGCTCGTTTTGTGTCCAAGAGCTGCAGTTTAACAGAAAAGCTCCAAATACTGGAATGAGGCCAGTAGAACAGTGAAGCACAGCAGTTAACCCATCATGATATGGGAATATTTCTCATCTGATGGTATCTGGTCGATTTTTCACATGTAAAGGATTTAGGATCAGTATTAATCTGAAGAGATCTGCTTCCCTGACATGAAAGAGCACAATTCCTTGAAATGGAAGCGAAATTGGTCAGATTTTACTCATGAATAGTTTATCCGTTTTCAGAGCTTTTTTGGTTCATGATAAAAAGTACAAAAACAAAACGGTACCGAAGGAATCGATGTGAGTGGAATTCACAATACAGAGGTAAAATAAAAGATATGGTTTTATGAATGCATTTAATGCATTATTGGGGTTTAATTTAATAAGTAGCTGTTTATGTTACATATTTGTGTGAGGGGTATTTAATTTGTTTCCAAATGGTAATCTCTGAAGACATCTGAAGGTACTGGTGTAAAATCCCACAGAAAACTCCTGATAAGAGCTCACTGTCTTGCAGATGCAAAATAAAAAATAACAGAGGGTCGATTAACAGTACATCTAAAATTGTTAGAGCTGATGCTGAGGCCAGAAAATCACCTGTTCATGTCACATGTTAAGATAAGAAAGTGAAGCAATGACAGAAACTCAGCTGCCGTGATTTAATAGTTAAGTCATATATCTGATTGGTTTTTATATATTTCTGGTTATTGCCTCAAGTTCAATCTTTTTGCAAGTTGGTAAAATATAGATTTAACTGAATTGATGTTTTCTACAGGGCAGTAGAAAACCAAAAGCCATCCCTTCCCAAAAATGATTAAAACAAAGATAAAGGTTTCTTTTTGCAAATGTGATTGTTTATTTTTTCGGTAAAAATCTTATGTGATATAAATCATAAATAGTCTCTTAATTTATAACATTTAGGATTATGACATAAAAGGGTAAACAAAAACAGTGCACTGAATATATATGTAGTAGAAAAAAAAATCTAACATTCAATATTAATGTAAGATTTGCTCAAAACTTTGGTTGTAAAAATACACACACATACGAAACAGGCTTCAAACATACAGAGCACATGATCTTTGATACTGTAGGATTTTAAGCAGCATTCTGTATGAATCTAAAGTGAATATCAAGGTCCTGAGTCCTTAGTATTTGTAAACTAAATAATAAAAAAAAACAGCTATTAACAATCATACGAAAACATCAAAAATCATCAAAATTAATGCGATATAACTAAAAACATTGATTCTGGACTGCTAATCCAAACATTATTTCTATAACGATATATTTAATCCCATGTAGCTCCTAAAAGAACATAATACCAAACGCAAACTGAATTTGCAAAAAAAAAAAAAGTATCACTGAATATTTCAAATGTCATGAAAAAAAAAAGTTCTTTACAAAAATGTCCTTATGTTAAAAAAGTCGACCAAAAAAAATGTTCATTGTAAGCTAGACACAGTAGTAGCTGTAGTGTAAAGTTCATACAGCATGACAGCGCACACACAGCTGGAGGCCTGGAAACCACCTGCTGCTATAAATACAGACTGGTCAGCAGCTGAGCCACTCAGTGGCTAAAGAACAGCTGAGACAACTGAGGTTTGAGTCTTGTTTATTAGATCAGGATGTCAGAGTGTACTCTCAAAGGTGACAGGAGTTTCAGTGTTCTCTTCAGCTCCTGCTGCAGTACCTGAGAGATGGAAAAAAAGGAGAAAAGATGGCTTAGGCCACTTTTTTTTTATCATAAAGTAAATAAAATCAACAACAAAGATATAACTCAGCTTACATTTACAATGTGTTGATGCAACGAGGAGCGATACAGGGATCTAAGGCTATGCAAATTCTGCATGCGCAAACACAGCTTTTTCAAAGGTGAAATATGAAAAGTAGGAGGCTACTATTTACCACTGGAAGGTCGCTATGCAAAACAGGGTTACACAGGGTCGCCGAGCCGAGTTGAGTTTTTCAATATCAGGGTATACCCACCTAAGAAAAATGTCGATAAATTGGGTTTGACTCGCTCACCACAGGCCGAGGTTTTTGGTTTCTGCAGGAGGCGAGGCCCACAGAGTCCGATAATCAGAGCACCTACAGGAGCTGTGAGGAGGATGGATAGCACGGCAACAGTTAGCACATCCATGCCGTACTTCTGCAGCTCCTTGTCATTCCCATTCCTGGCAATGTCTAAAGCCTTGGAGCCTATTGCTGCCTGAGGAAGACACAAAGAAATGCTGTGATTCATGGCTGACAGCTCAAAATGTCACCAGGTCATAAATAAAATGGAACCATGTCAGTGCTTGTATTTTTAATGCGTTTCTGCCATGAAGTCTGCAGAAGCACACAACAAGGAAGGCTTCCAATGAGAACCTACTGACATATTCCAGCACTGACTCACCTGAACTGTTGCTTTGGGCATCCATGCAAGAGCTATGAAGATTTTTTCCTTGACGTTGAAACCCGCACCTAACACACACACATAGGTGAAGAGCACTCTAACCAGGAGAGCGATGAGCAGGGAGGCTATACCCAGACCTGTAAGGACATAAACAGATGAGTTATACAGGGACACCTCCTCTGCATAGCTTTCATTTTTTATATTTTTATATTTATATTGCCACCACTAACTTCACTGGATTTCTTTGGGGTTTAAAACGTTAGATCAACATATAGTAGTGTATACTTGTGAAAGAAATTCTATATGGTTTTCCTTTTTTTTTTTTTTTTAATAAATAAAAAAAAGTGTGTTAACTTTTATTCAGCCACCTAAGTCAATACTTAGACCTGGCTTAAAAATCTAATTTTCCATTTTTCCCTACCCAATCTATTTATTTATCCACCACACCCCAATTTAAGCTTCATAATAAAATCACAAATTACATATTTCCTTCAAAAAATTGTTTTGGTTTCAATCAGTCATCTGGGAGGCGACCAGATAATATGAAGGGCAACAAACTTCAAGCTGTGAAATAATCATTTTCCACAACAAACAAAATATAACACGCTCAATGTCTATCAGTTATAAGAACACATCTAAATACAAAAACTCTGGGCTCTGGAAGCCCAATAAGTGGAATACTGAAAAAAAAGAAAAAAGAATTATAGATTTTCCAAAGATGTAATCATAAACATCATCAGTGATCCCTCACACCCCCACCATGGGGTGTTCTCCCTGCTGCCCTCTGGAAAGACACTTTGCAGCATTCGCTGCAGGTCCTGCAGGTTCTGCTACAGCTGTATTTAGGCCTCCAACTCAACACGCTTTGAGGTGAGCTGTTCCATCATAGCTCTAGTTGTATTTTGATGAATCTCTGCACTGATCTCAGGCTCTATGCAGCTACAGGGAAGTTTTGTTTTATGCGTCATCATATAAAAATTCCAACAAAACACATTGAGGTTTATAGTTTCAATTAGAAATAAATTACAAATAATGGGAGTATGATTAATTCATGCTTACATAACATATTTTACATTTATTTCTAAAAAAAACAACAAAACAGGAGATCTAAAAAAAAGATACGGGGTGTGAGGGACGGCAGTGTCGACTGCACATCGGTATTAATATTTTTCAGGACTTGAGAGAGTGCTGGCATCTCTCCTGGCTTGTTTGGTTAAGCAAATATATTTACATACATTCATACAGTCACATTTGAATTTTTCACTATGATGACACTGTTACTATGAAGGCTTTGTGTATCCGTCTCACCAACTGCATGCCCCTCCAGCTCAGAGACTCGAATCTCGGCTCCTATCAGTCCGAACAGCAGAGGCTGAAACACGTCCCACGCCCACCCAACCACTTCCTCCACACGGGCCTTTACGGTATAAAGAAGGAATAAAACAATTAAGTTTAGGATACAGCAAAAACAATCATTATTAAATAACTAGTAAAGAGCATGTTTGTTACACTATGGCTGTGTGTCCTTGCAAACTAAGAGTGGTAAATTGACTTTGCAAATGACTATGGCGTGCTCATTCTATTACCTTCTCTGCTCCCCAGCCAAGGCCAGCCAGGAATGCTAACACTAGGGTACAGAGACCCCCCGAGCCTGGAAAGCCCACCACTCCACTGCCAAACACAGCAAAGACGGACAAACCCAGAACCAGGAAGGAACGCTTCATCACTAGGTGCTTCTACAACAGAGAAAGTTAGAAATAAAAATAAATAAAGAGCAGTAGACTGAATTCTAGCAGCATTTATAGAGATCAAATGTACTTTCTCCAAGATTAAATATTTACATGAAGCAGTTTATTATAAACTCTGAAGCATCATGAAACGTGAACATTAGTGCTTCACTACTGTTAGATGTTACTACTATATATTTGTTTATGTATGTTAAATGCTCTTGTCAAAAACAGTTTACTGAGCTGTTATTGGCTCTTCACATGATGTCTTACAAACTGCTCTGCTAAGTGATGAGAGGATAATCAGAAAAAACTAAGGCATAGATTTTTAGGTAAGGTGCTACCATAGTTATAAACAATTGACATTTTACCAAATTCAGATAAATCTTATGGAGTCTCAGTTTGGTATAGTACTGATCAGATGGAGCCCCATAATGCCAGGTACCTGCATAGCTAATAAGTTGGTAAAACTGTTAGGATACATTTCAAAATTTGCAACCTTTCATGTTTCCAATTGTCTTTTAATAAACTGATGAAGATTCTCAGTCATCCAAGTCATAGTCATTCCGTAAAAGTAAAAAAAAATCCACTGGACTTGGTTTCCAAGATTTGAAGAGGTTTGCCCACCTCTCCAGGAAGCTTTCTCAATTCAAATGTCTGGATCTGCAGTGAGTTTGAGTCTTATATAGACAAAGCCTTGTATTGCTTGGAAACATGCAAATGGTAACCGACGAGTGGGTCGTTTGGTTCCTTCGTTAGCCTGTAATACCTGAAACCTGTCTATGATTGTTAAGGGTCGGTCGATAAGGAGGTATTGTTCACCAGGTGGGTGCCGGTCAAGGCAAGTCAGGCAAAATGAATGAATTATACTTAAACAATGCATTTTATTTGACTCAAAGCCTGGATTTGCCTTAGTCCTACACAGTGTGTGGCTAGCACGGCTTACCATAAACCAAACATAATATTCTAAAAGCAGCCTTTATGTAACATCTTTTTAAGAATTTGATGTTGCTGTATTTTTAATCAAAAGTAGTTGGTATTTTAACTATACTTAAGGTGTTAAATTCAACCTTTTAAGTGAGGCTCTTTAATAAATCCTGATGTATCGCTTTAAAAAAGGCAACTCAACATCAGATTACGTACCTGGTCAACACTTGGAAAGTACTGAATAAGGAAGCCAAGGAGGATCCCAGCAACCATCCCTCCTACAACCTCTAGGACACCTCGCAGCAGGTTATACCAAGTGGAATCTGGAAGGAAAAAGATGCTTATAAATTTTATATATATATAATATAATGAATTGCTTAAAAAAAAAAGTTAACTCTTAAATTATGTTGGGAAAAAAATTATATTGATTATGTTGTGGGACATTTTGTCCAGTAACGTATAACTGTATGACTGTATCAGGACAGTCAGAAATCTTTTATTTTTGATTGGGTAAATATTTTGATAAGTGACACCCAATTTAATTTTGTATTCAAGCACTATTTTACAGATCAGCTTGGTTAAAGTTTTTTATGTAATGTTATACATGTTCAGTGTCCTCCACATTATAGGCAGAATATAACTGCTTCTTGCATTTCACACATGAGGTGCTTGTTTTGCTACACTCTTGAGGAGGACATACCTGGCATCTTTTTAGTTTTTTTTTGCACCTGCATTCACAGGATACGCTGCAGATAAGTTGGATAGCACAAACTAGACTCTTTCAGCTGCAGCTGTACGGGATCTACTGGCCTAGTTCGGCTCTGCTTTTCCCAGTTCATCCAGGAATATCCGGCATTGATACAATATGCCAGTATTACTTTACTGATTAATTTCAGTCCATAGGATGTAAGTGTTGCAAGCAGACACATAAACAATGTTTTAAAAAAAATTACCAAAAGCCAACGGGCTGTCTTGCACTGGCAGCTTTATGTTGCTGTGACTTTGTCCAGGTTGTCAACCCCCCGTTTGGTGGAGTTGCAGTCCATAATCTTCTAGCTTCTTGTCTTTTCTTGTGCTCAGATATGCATCTGTTTTCACTGTGCTCCTTACAAGATCTTTGTTGTTTCTCTTTGAGCAGTAAGAAACAACTGTTGCTTTCTCAGTAAAAACAAATATTGAGGAAAGCAAAGGTCTTTTCTTCAGAATTTCACAGGGAATTTCTGGCTTATTTCTTCTGACTGTTCCCAACATGGTCAGCTTTCTCTTCTGACGTTAATCCCCAAGGCAATAGCACGTAAAGAAGTTGTTGCATGTGATGTTATGACCTTGCAGCCCTTCACTCATCTCCAGCACCACACACCTCCCCTGATTCTCATCAGATGAGGTAGCTTTCCAGTGTCAACCTTTATGTTCCAAGCATAGCTAGATTTTGTATCACAGGCTGCCCTATTTAGATGCCATACAGGGATGGGTCAAATGCAGTGAGTGACTATCCCCATTGTGGGAATAAAGGGATTTGCATTTACTTGGCTGGCTTGTTGGGCATATATTTCCAGAATGCACAGTGGCCCTTGAATGGACACTTATCTACAGTGACATGGGGACCAGGGTTGTACAACAAAGATAGTATTTCAACCCATTTATGCCATACATCTCTGAATGCTGCTTGTTAGTCTCTTTCACTTCGACCATCTGTGGTATCACGGTTGTCAATTCGGATCACACAAAATATCATGTGAAATGCCTCTGGAGACATTGCTGCCCAAATGATGGGCCTTAAATTCTCTTCATCCCATAGACTAGCAGTCGGTTCGTCTTCAGATCTGTAAACTCAGCTAATACCAGAATTTCAACGTAAACATGCAAGTTGGTCTTATTCAGTGGCTTCCATTTCTCTTGAAATATACTTCTTCCTTCCAAGCAGGATTGATACCCTAATCGGAGAAAATAATAGTTCATTTAAGGTATTTTTTTTTTTATTTTAAATATGCAGTTAACTCTGGGATGTATGAATTCGGTTTTAAAAACATACACTGAAAAGGTTCTAGTAAGAATAATTTGCACACTTACACCTCCTACTGTGCAGCCGATAAACTGCAAGCCAGCATTAATGTTTTTTAGTGTAATTCTAATTGTTGACCAACCTGCTGCTTCTTCCCTGGAGAACAGGCAAGTTTTTAGTCACAAAAGTACAAGACCGAATTATATTACTGTGGAAACACAGGGAGTACCTGTGGCGAAGGCCATGCCCAGGCATGTTGTAAAGCCTGTAATGGCGAGAATGTCGTCAAAGCTTCCAGCAGCCATCAGCAGGGTGGGGATGCCCTGTTCCACGCCGTATCCTTCCTTCTGCAGCAGGAGCATGGAGGGCACCACCACAGCAGGAGACACTGCACCCAGAACAAAGCTGCAAAACAACATTGATTTACTTTACTGTTGCAAACATGTAACAAATAAAAAGTTTTCACTATTCTAATCTGGACTGTCAGAATGCAAAGAAAAGATGCTAGCAGTGAATGAAGGCGACAGACCACCAAAATTGTTCTTTGACATTTTTCAGACATCAGATTTAAGGAAAAAGTCTGAAATCTACAGTAGGAGGAACCTTCACAGTCTTTGAGAATAACCAGAGTTGCAACATCAGAAAAGAGTATTGAAGTTAGTCTTAAGCAGGAGACTAGTTGGTGATTCTAAAGAATAGCACCTTGGAAAAATACTAATACTTTTAAAGTCTTAAACCCCAGAAGTCATTGTACTTCACTGGAATTTTCTTTCAGAAAAAAGGCGACTAGTGTAAAAGTAACCAGGAGTTCAGGTAACTTGATCTACTTGGCTTCATGCAAAAACACAGTATGTGGCAGAAAGCTGACACTGCAAATCACTTGGAACTCATCATGAACACTGAAACATGGTTGGTGCACAATGATGCTGTGTGAAAGGTGTTCTGCAAAGGCATAGTTGATAGAAAGATGGCTGCAGCTACAGTATTTACATGGCAGGGGCTACTTTTGAGAGGCACTGTACTCCAGTTTTACAAGCAACATTTAGATGTAGATGTGAGATCATAAATGCACATGACGAGTGTGAAGTGTTGCATTCACCCAAGAATGAAGCCCCACGCCCAAGGCAAGTGCATGAGGAAGTGAGAAATGAGAGCTGTAGTTGTGGCCTCGATCAAGCAGGGTCCAGCTGCTACCCGAACACAAACGGATTTGAGTTTCCTCAGAGCCTGGCAGTAGAAACATACATGTTTAGATGTGTGGATATTACAGTAGCAGCCATTCAAAATGGCCCTTCCTCAGAATGGCCATTGGCCAATGGCCAGCCACTGGCGTGACCCCCTCCTTCTCCTGGGCACATATATTTTTTTAATCTGACCACCATTTCACTGAATTACAGGGTCTGACCAGGAGAAGGCACTTCTCTTTAGATGATAATGTCCACAAATCATGACAGAAAGAATATTTCTGTAAAAAGACTGGTGTTTAAATAAGGAATCTTAAGGGACCAGCCAAGGGCCCATCAAGGAAAATGAGGAAATTTTGAATAGCTACTAGTGTATAAGCCGTCATTCAGCTTTTCTACAGAAAGCATTAATAGGCTAATATGGCGAGAACAACATTGTTTAAGAAGATTCGACATTACTTGACAAAATATTAAGGATTTTCTAAAGTAAATTACAAACCAGACCAAAAACTGCACATTGTTATTTAAGAGAAAATTAAAAAAACAACTAAATAACCTATTTAATCTGAGGAAATAACTTCTATTCAGCAGTTGTTGAAGGAACCATTGTTTCTGAGAGTTTGTGGGTGTAAGAAAACCAAGTTTTAGAATTATAGTGTTAAACCAATCCGAGTTCTTCTAACTAACTTCCCTGTGAACATAAAGTCATACCTTGGGATCCAACCCCAGGCCGGCTCTGGCCAGGATGACAGCCAGAGCAATGTTTCTCAGGGAAGATGACCACCTGACGTTTATGTAAACCCCATCTGTTACAACTGGGATGTTCCTCAGCAGGAAGCCCATCAGCAGCATACCTGCAGCCAAGAGACAGCGAGAATAAGGAAAAAAGATACGTTTCAACAACAAAAACAGTTTTTCTTTTCTTTTTTTTTTGCGGATTGTATTTCACACGGATCATGTGAAATGACTCAATGTTTATGTAGCTAGATGGAAAAAGTTAGATAAAAAGATTCAGATATTTATAAAGTACAATCTATATCAATGTATCTGGTTTAATGTAGGGTTACTGTCAGATAAAAACAATATGAATGCAATGATTTAATCTAAGCTAAATATATTGAATCTTCGGCAGGTTCCAGGTTCTAAGTTTAACAAATAAAGTGTCAGAAGTGATCTAGAATGGTGTTGATAGCAAAATTGGGAATTGGCATCCACTGAGCAGACAATTTATTCATTGTACACTGACTATAGCACATCCACTGAAACATGTCTCCATAAAATCCTATTAAAATCCTATTAATTCAAATTTATCTGAACACCAAAACTATCAATTTTAAGGCATCCATGTATAAGAAAAATGAAAACAATAACAATATGTTTGAAATGTCCCTTTTCATTCATATTTCCATCCGTTTTCTCATCAATGGGCGTGAGTTTAGGGCGATGCGCGTTCCCGTGACAGGGGAGGTAATTCTCTGCTCAACAGAGGAAACCCGGAGGAGAAAAATCAAAGAAAAATGAATTTTATTTAAGCAATTTAAGAGATAAAATATTTCATTATTATCTTGAAAGAACTGCCAAATGTGACGTAAATGTCTGGCCAATGGTCATAAATGAATTGTCCGATCGATGGTAAATAGCTTAGCTCCACGGACCTGTTAAATAGTTTGAACTCATTCATTGCCAGCATGTAGCCTAGCTTACTTCAAATTAGCTAATAGAAGCAATACTGAGTTTCTGATAAACAGGCTATTTATAAAATAAATACTCTATATGAATATTTGAAAGGTGAATGAAATTATTAGATTTTATAAAGGCTTATTTCATTTTTAGGCTAATTTGAATGTATTTGAATTTGTAAGCAGTTTTTTTTCAGATTTTGAAAAGTACTTCAGCTGTTTCAATTTAATTGATTGAATTTGAATAAAAAAAAATACTTGACTGAAAAGAATTCAGATATTCTTTTGTAATGTTTTGTGAGGTTTTGTTCCAAATCTTAATAGATTCATTGCCAAATGATTTTCCAAAGTAAAATCAAAGAAGTGACCTACCATGACTGAAGCTGATTACAGCGGGAAAGTAGTCCCTAACTAGGTAAGGGGCAGTGATAGCCATGCCAGTCCAGGGACTGACTGCAGTTCTACTGTTACGTGCCTTGGTCAAGGTCAATGACCGACGTACCTGACATGTAACAACCATACCATGCATATTGCTTTAGGTTAATAGACGATATTAATTAGGCTATGTATGCTTCATAGAAGAAAAAAAATTCCGCCATCCCCCTTCTATTTTATTATTTTTTTTATACAACTCGACTACCACTGCTATGTATACAGCGATGTCGATATTTCATTGAATACTAAGGAGGCTAAACGTCCCCTGTAAATTTAGTAATAATTAATGCTAAAATATGCATTGTCAAACTTCATCAATGTAGTCATTGAACTGCATTAAATATGAGCTAAAATGCGGCTGACTTTATGAGTATGCTTCTCATTAATCAGCTGTTTATTCTGCTCTTAGACACAGTCTCCCCTCCACTCTAGAGAAGCAGAACGCTGCCTGTCAGTCTCTATGAGAAATTCCTGGTCAGGTTTGAGCCTCTGTCTATTGAGGTAAGCAGTGGAAAGTAGAGTACTGATTGGATAACACGGCAAAATATGTCATTTTTAGAGAGGCTAAACCTCCTAAGGGGTCTATGGAACAGGGGCAGGTGAATGCTTGATGCTGATTGGCCAACATATTTAAGGATTTTTGACTGACAGTGTCCAAACAGCGAGGAGGTCTTCCTGATAAGTTAAGAGAGTTAAGATCATTCAGTCAGAACACTCATCTTGTGCTAAACTCTTGCTGTAGGTTCTGGAGTTTATTATTTCAGAGCATTTCACAACAGCCATTTTAAACCGTTAGAGTTATGTGTTTATGTGTTTCAACATTTCTTGATGTAATACTTACGGTCTGGATTTAATTAACACCATTGCCTCCCCTGGTTCAGAAAAGCAGCAGTCGTCAAAGATATACAGTATGCACTACTGCTGACAGTGCAAACGGCTAATGAAATAAAAAAATAACTGTCTAAATGTAGCCTGTATAATCATTTTAGCAGTTTTAGTATAAAAGAAGTATAAAAGTAAAAGAAATCCAGTATTCTTCTCTCACACACAATGTGTAACCTTTGCTCCCAACATGGACAGGAAATGTCCATGAGGCCTTGACGTCCAGCTACAATTAAGAACTCACAAATGTAAAAAAGATCATACAACTTGATCTAACAAATTAAACAAGTTTTTTTTTAACCCCATAAAAAAATTGAACATTACTATTATTCCTTTCAAAAAGGATCTCATTGGACAAAAAAAAAAATCTTATTACATGATGTACATCTAGGTGTTGCGGGGCAAATTGAATCTTATTATTTTGGGTACAACCAGCTGTTTTTGGAAAAACTTTTTTTTTTTTAAGACTGGAATTTTATAGGTGGTTGGATTTTAAATGTAATTTGGAAATTTTTTTTATGATTTTATGAACAAAAACCTCCCTATTAAAAATTGCTATTCCAGGGTTAAAGAAGAACCAATTAGCCTACTTATTTTTAGCTTTACTCTAAACAAAACTAATGTAACGTAATGAAATCAGTGCCTCAATGTAAACACGTCGGCCTTACCAAGAAGTGGTGGAAAAGGTGGAAGTTTAGGCAGACGGATGAGGGCAACTACTTTGCCACCAATAAGCGCACAGATGAAGAGTACGGTGATGCCAAACAGGTTCCCTCCTGGACGACATTCGTCCTCAGTGATGGACCAAACCACACCAAAGAACACAGCTGCCAAAAGAACTGTAGAGGGAAGACAAGACAGACATCATGTTGCAACCAGTCAGCAAGACTTACATGTTTGTTTGTTTTTTAATCAGAGGAAATAAAAAAACACTCTGATATTTTAACCCAATTGAGAGCTTTTTAAATTTAGTTTCACATCTAAATATAACTACCCTGCACTGGTAATTTCAATTACATGTTTCTAGTTATTTGCACACGTGCAAAAAATTTAAAATAAATGACAAAACACCAAAGACTACCTCTTGGTTACCTTTGGTAATAATAGAGGCGGGGACCCCTCGTGGCGGACAAGGGCAAATTCTGCGGAGCAGCGGACAACAGACCACTGGCGGGTCCGTGTTAGTGCCAGCGTCCACCACAGGGTTGCGTGGAATAAAATAGGTGGTCTCCTCTGTTAGGTTAGGAGTCGAGCAGCGCCGTACCACCACCTGGACCTGGCCTATATTTAGATGCTTTAAATGAGGAATCAAAACATAGAGAAACAATGTCAATACGATTCCAGCTAGACTCTAGACATACACTGACTTTGTCAAAATGTGGAATTTTGATGTTTAAAGAAGTCCCCATTGCATAAAAATGGTTTATGATCCAGCATTTACATCAGAATGAATGTATTAGAACATGTTAATATGTTATTAAAAATAGGAGGTTCCCTAAAGAATTCTCCCTTTGACAAAAAACATGGAGTCCAGTACTTTACCTCTACATGATTCGGGGTAGGAAGAGCGATTCGTTCCAGCAGTGGGCTGGGAACTGGACTAGGAACTGGACTGGGTGCTCTACTGGGAACTGGGCTGGGTGCTGGACTGTGTGTGGGGCTTGGTTCTGCTTTTGCAGGTTTCTGAGGTGTTTCCTCCATTCTATTGTTTTCCGATTCTGTTGCTTCTTTATTACAGCAGGTTAAACTGTCTGTAGAGCCCAGCCATTTGAGTTTCCCTCACTTCTGAGCGTCCAGCCTCTCATCTCAAGCTCCTTTAAAAACAGTTCAGGTTTTATAAGCAGAAAAAAAAATGAGAAAAGAGAAATTAGTAAAGAGGTGTAGAAAGAGACATATCAACTGTTTAGTGTTTAGCCAGGTTTTATTAAGAACATTAAAGTCATTAGAAGGCTTTCCTATGATATTCAACTTTACCTACAGTTTATTTTTTATTTTTCTTACCAAGAGAACATTTAATGTTCAGCGTTTAAGCAATTTTTGTGACAAATCATGATTTATTCAAAATAAAAAAATTATCTCTCCATCTCTGATTGAAAATTTGAATTAAAACCCAAGAAAAAGCTTCTTTTTTTAATGTGTTTTGAAAAAAAAAATATTTAGCAGATAAAAACTGGGATCCTATCTCAATACCAATGAATCTATCACTTTACTGTTTTTGAATAATTAGTAAATCAGAAAATGAAGCACATCCACAGGACCTATCAGTAACCATGTCTGTTGCAGCATATATCATCATTAGAATTTCTTTGAGTATTATGTCTTCGGTACAGGGGCCAGGATATGATCTACAGGGGCACTGGCCCCTGTTGGCCCTTGTCTAGAAGCGGCCATGGTGAGGAATGATGAGTTTCTGGAACTTGGGATGTCTGCTGTCTGCTTTGCTATTAGTGTGGTGTTTAAACGGCTCACCATCATGTAGACATCTGCCATGTGTTGGGGTATAAATACGGTTCAGTCAATCATATTATTATCAGGTGAGCATAACAGGAATTTTTCGCACCATTACGTCTGCAATGAGACCTCCTAGTCCACATTCGGGAAGTTGGTCCACCAGGTATCAGTGTTTGGGGTGTCCCTAAGAAGCAACTGCAGTCTGCGCTTACCGATATTTACCCCATTGAACCTTAATAAAAGCTGTGACTTTAACACCCGGCATAAATCAACCTTTAAGCAGCAACGGTTCTATCAGTACAAGCTGACTACTACTCTGTTTTCATAGCTGTTAAAGGCAACAGACGTTGGTTAATCCAATTGTGAATAAACCGCACTAATCAATGCTTACAGCTTGACCATATGGCACACCAAGCTAGCATTAGCAGTCAGCAGGTAAATAACAGACAGCAACCGGAAACAATATATATCATTAGCATGCTAGCCCATTAGGGACAGGTTTGGTGTGACGGTTATTAGTGCTCGTAGTGGTGTGAGAATAAAGGCTACTGTGTGGTTTTGAAGCGTTTAGATCTCGATCGGGTTGATATAAACGGCCATATATTGATCCCGTTATATCTGATGTGGTAGTTGAGTATAAAGCGGCTCACTTCATTTCCTATTTCAAGGCAACACAGCGTCACTAAAACGTCCTAAAACGTGCGTCCATGTGTAGAAAAAACAAACAAAAACTCACATTGCAAATACCGATCCCAGTCATTAGCCATAGTTTCAGAAAGTAAAGCTAATCCATTAAACTTAAAAAAGGTATCCCTCTCTCCGTTAAATGTTTTTTGAAAAGTTATGGAGATTCCCCTCCGGTGTGTCTGTCTGGACCCTGTAAATAAGCATAGTGTAGAGGAGAAACAGCTCACCTCATATTGTAAATACAGCCATGGCTCGCAGACTGACAGCGTCTGTAGTAGAACAGTGAAACAAACAGCAGCTGGGTGCTGCGAATGAGGCGGATTAGCGATAGAAAGGCAGATACTGTATATATAGTGCAAACCCAGCTTGGAGGTGAGGGAGTGGGAGGAAAAACCATTCCTTCTTCTACACTTACATTAATGTTTTATAACAAAGCAAACAGAATGGCAGATTCTTATGCTGATATTTCTATTTATATGTATTTATAACGTACTAAGAGGCTGCTTTAAGAAATCATTTTTATTCTAAGGAAAGACATTTTGTAGTTTTTTCCATTTCTCATGGACAACAAACCAATATTGTACATATTTGATGCAAAATACCATTGTGTGGATGAAAATTTACTTGAAAAAAATGAATAAAAATCCAAAATGTAGGCTGAGTGTTTGTGTTCAGCCTATTTTTACTTTGATATCCCCAAAAAAAAGTCTAAAAGGACCACTATACAGTATCTGGGTTTTATAGTCTCTCTCTACAGCATCATGAAAACCAAGGAACGCAGCAAATATGTTAGGAATCAAAGTTGAGAAGATTGTTATTTAAAATACAATATTACCTATGAAACTTTAAAATTAAATAGGATTTCAATACATCCCCCAAAGTGTGTAACAATAATAGCAGATATTACATACAGAAGCAGTTTACTTAAACTTACATTCTGTGAAAGTGCACACATTTTTAGTGTCCACAAAAGCTAATACAGACTAATCCTGAACGTCTTGCAGCAAATTATGGCTTTATGATGTATGATTAATACAAATGTACAATTTTTCAGATTTCTATTTATTTGTAAAAAAAAAAAAAAAAAAAAAAACATGAATCCCATTTCTTTCCCATGTTATGAACAACTATGTGTTAAACTACCTCATAGTTTGATTGAAATGCCGTAAAAAGTGGAACTACCTTTGGAAGGCGGGGTGAGTTTATCTTTTTAGAGGATTTTACTGTTGCCATACTGGTTTAATAGAGAAAGAAAATAGAAGCAAGTCACAAAAGATACACAATTCAAATAAATGTTTGATTATCCAGACTTTATTTTGATCTTTCTTGAATTGACTGTGCTATCATAATCAGAACTCCACAGGTTCTTCACAGTCTCCAGCCTCCATCAATGATTTGCTCTGTTCCAGTGACATAGGCCGACTGTGAAGGACAAAGATACAATCCACAGGTGAATTATATTTCTACACACAGGAAACCTTAAAGTTTAACTGCCAAAGAATGGTGTTTTTTTTACAAGTAGAGAGACAACAGCCTCATTCTATAACTCAGTATGACCCTTTCGATAAGTCTCACCTCATCTGAGGCCAGGTACACACAGAGATGCGCCACCTCTTCAGCAGTGCACATTCTGCCCGTTTTTTGTCGGGCCATAAAATCCTTGTAAGCCTATAGAGGGATTACAATTGTGGTATTAATTAACTTTAACAGCCAGTCATCAGGGTATCGTCTTGCTAAACCCAAGTAAGAAAATGGTTTAACGAAGAAAAAATATAAGTCAGAGGTCTACAATACTTGTTCAGGGTCAGGCTGGGCCTGGATCCTAGCCCTCAAGGATGGAGTATCAACAGTTCCTGAGATATAACACAGCACATCAGACATTGTACTGAAAGGTTTCCTTATTTGAAGTCTTATCTGTAGGATATTAACTATAAAGATAAGGTTGAGTCTGCAGCAGGAACAACACCAGAGATATGCATGAGATTGTGCTTACTGGCAAAAAGTGGGTAACAGAACACATAAAAAGGGGCATAAAGTATGATTTCACACGAAATGCTCTGGATTTCTAAGAACAGTTTCACTTGTCCTCAACTGAGATAGCATAACATAAAAAGAGTGATAACGATAACAAAAATTTATAAAGATATAACATTTTTTATTTGGACTATTACTGACCAGGACAGACACAATTGCAGCGAATGCCTTGCTCAATGAAATCGGCAGCTATGGATTTGGTGAGGCCAATCACAGCAGCTTTGGAGGTACTGTAGACGCAGCGGTTCACCACACCTGCGACCAGATAGCAAACGTCATTTACACTGGGGTGCTCACATAGACAGAAAGAAACAGGCTTAGATAAGAAAAAGCAATTATCAGATATCAGTGGCATAACATCGTTTTGATATTTTATGATGTGGATAGTTTTATTATATAGCTTATTTTACCTTTTATGCTTGAAGCAACAGAAGCCATGTTAATAATGTTTCCGGCTTTTTTTTCCAACATCTAAAAGGGACAAACAAAAAATATCTATTAATAAACTATAACAGATAGGTGGCCTTTTTAAAGAAAACAAATGTGTTTCAATTTGAGAAAAAAAATCCAGACAAGATGCCAGTTTATTTGGTTTGAGGCTAATACAGTGACTGGATTAGTTGCTGGATTAGTACCTGGACAGTCAAAGTTCATCATGTCACAGGCTCACAGTAATACAGCTAATCCTCACAAAGATTGAGAACATCTTTAAAAGCATATGTCACTTATTTTACCTTATTATTTGTTCAGCAAAGAAGTAAGCTGTGTTAAGAACATTTTAGTATGAAGAAGAGTCACCTTAGGCAAGAAAGCTTTGCACATGAGATACATGCTGCACACATTGACATTCATGGTGAAGTCCCAGTCAGCTTCTTCACAGTCCAAGATGTTGCCATGGTGGACGAACCTGGAAAAAGGCCACCATAAATAACTCGCCATAGAAATGTTCCTTTTGTCTCACTAGTGAAGCTGTAACCATAACATCGAAATATAGTGCACCAACCTGATTAAAAGTCATATTTTCTCTAAGAGAATATAACTACTTTAAAGGTGACATCAGGTATTTGGAAAGAAGATTGACAAAAGGTTAAATGAAGGTTGTAGTGGAAGCTGTTGGAAGCATAGCTCAGGAGACAAGTAGATAAGCTATCAGTGGAGATAAGGTAGATTTGGTCTCTACTCCTAAAATATGTCCACTAAACAACATCAAAGGAAAGGAAATGTACCCTGCAACATTAAACAGCACATCAATGTGTTCATGTTCTTTGGCCAGGGCTTCCACTTGATCCTTTTTTGTCACATCCACCACTTTAGTCCTGATACCTGGTCAGAAATATAAAGAATTAGCAAGGAAAGTTGTTCAAATATACTTTTATAGTAATTCATGTTAGTAGGCAGAGTTGGATTTTGCAAACAAAATATGTACTACAGCACGATTGTTAAAGAAGTAATTGTGGTGATGTTTGAAAAGTTTAGCAAAATATTAACACAATAAAGGTTAGTAAAAGGACACCTTCTCGGTTTTAGTGTATAAATTGTTGATGTATTGATGAAGTTGTGACAGCAGATAAAGACTTAGCCAAAACTGTGGATAGTAGTTCAGCTACATAGTATAGTGGGAGATGTCAGAGTGGCCAACGGATACAACGGATACAGCAAAAGATGCAATGCACTGAACATACATAAAACCTCCAAATACACAAACACACAAAAATCAAACAAAAGCAACAGGAAAACTGTGCAAAAACAATGCTTTAATCACAGAGAATAGAAAGAGTGAAAAAGAAACATACAAAACAAATACACACAAAAAAACTGTAAAAAAAAAAAAAACCCTGCAAATTCATCCACCCTATTGAAGCACACCAGAAAACTAAGGAGGGTAGACAGCCAAGTCCAATGGACCAGACCCTCAGTAAAGAAACAAATGGGATGACCTAAAGAAAGTTGGAGGGAAAAGAAAAAACATGTCTTATAAACCAGGCAAAAGAATGTTTTAAGTAGACCATCTTCTCTAGTCACATTGGATAGGTCAGCATATGGAATATCAGGATTATTGATGACCTCTAAAATCAGATTCCCCTATGTGGTCAGCTTCCCCTATGTGGTCACCTTCTACTTCTGCTATTCCGTATTCATCATCAGCCTGGATTACAGTTGGATAATATCTAACAGTTGGGTCTCTAAGCAACCTTAAAATCAGAGGAAACTGTTTAGACAGCCGGGTACTCACCACTTGGCTCTTGGTGTAACACCCAAATATTCCTTATGCTGAATGGCCATAGAGGGCCAAAAAACTGGGAAATTAGGAAACTACAGGGAATGCTGAAGTGGAGAATGGCTGATGGTGCAGCAGCATTTGAGTTACTGTCACACATATTTCTCATCATCTGATAGAAATCCCTTTCTAGCGCAATCCAATTTCCCCAGGGCTCTTCCTGCCAAAGTTCCTGAAGTTGTTCTTCAAATGGCAACCGCCAGCCACTGTGGCCAGATGGATGTAGGGTCGTATGATGCTTGGTTCACTGGCCATCTATGTCTCTGGTTACCCCAGCTAAGAGTTGGCTTGAGCTGCTCTGGTTCCCTTTATACTGCAGCAGCACGGAGTTTCTGTCTTGCTCTACAGTGTCCACTGTGTCGTACTTGTGCTTCACTGCTGTGCTTGAAGGTTGTTCTCACCCACACCCTCTTTCTAAAATGGAATGGCACTGTGGCTGCTGACCTCTCTTCTGTATCCCCGGCACTATGCACCATTTCCTGTTAAGTGAAAGGTAATTAGTTGACCTCTGCTGCAAGGTGGTGAGTAAACCTGCATAATCCCAAAAGGCTGGGAGTTGACACTGGTCAACTTGGGAGTTTCTAAAATGAGTTCCGTTGTCAGTTCTTAACTCTTAACTCTTTAGGAGTTAAGAACTGACAGAAAGGGACCACATCTTTCCCTGCCCTACTCTTTCTCCCAGCAGGCCACGTGGTCCGGTCCCTTTCTGGAGCTGTCGGTGTAAAGTTCCCACTTTGGAGGCTCCTCCTGGGCTGGCTCTGTCAGCTGCTTCCTGCAGATGGATTTTGCTGGTCCAATCTCCCAGGGTCGAAATGGAACTTCCCATCCGATCTTCACATCTTCTCCATTTGTGTTGATTGCTTTGGTACTCTTAATGGTCCCTTCTCTTAGATATTCATGAACCTGACTCTGTGTGATGACTTTAATAGACTGTCCTTGTGCTAAGTACTTTAAAGCACCCTATGATCTGGCTAATAATACTAACTCTTTTTTTATTCCTGTGGAAACTTATTCTCAACCATCTTACAAGGTAAAGGTCCAGATGGTCAATAGGC